ATTCCTGTTAATGATGATAGCTCTGAAGAAGAGTTGCTTGGATAGAGGTTGAAGTGCTGCCTGAGAAGAAGGGTTAAGGGGAGGCTCTTTGAAGGAGGCATTTGAAATGTAATCTCTTTTTCATAAATCATTTACCAGAATACAGTCATGCACTGTATAAGGTCAATCATGTGTTACACATGAGATCAACAATAGACCACGTATATGGTGGTGGTTCCATTAAGATTAGACTGGCCCCTAGTGAGGTGGTAGTGCTCCCAAAGTCGGGCCACAGAGATGAAAGACAGGATACCCACCCTTGCAGAATTGATGGGATCGTGTGATGGTGGCAGGGGGATCTCAGAGGAGGAACACCCAACTCAAGATGTATTAGTCCACTTTCACACTGCTGATAAAGACATACCCAAGACTGGGCAATTTTCAAAAGAAAGGGGTTTAATGACTCACAGTTCCACATGGCTGGGGAGGCCTCACAATCATGGAGGAAGGCAAGGAGGAGCAAGCCACATCTTAATGTGGATGGTGACAAAGGCAAAGAGAGAGATTGGGCAGGGAAACTTCCTGTTATAATACCATCAGATTTCATGAGACTCATTCGCTATCACAAGAACAGCACAGGGAATATCTGCCCCCATGATTCAATGACCTCCCACCAGGTCCCTCCCACAACATGTGGGAACTCAGTTTGGGTGGGGACACAGCCAAACTATATCACAAGGGCTGTTAAGTAAAGGCTTCTAATTTAAGCTTGAAGGGCATGAAGGGGTTGGAGTGGAGAAGAGAGGACATCCCAGGTAGTGTAACAATGTCTGTGCTAAGTGCTGTGGCTACATGTGTTATTGGAGTTGTAAGAAAGAAAAGGAGAATATTGGGAACTGAAGAGAGACTTGATGGATAAAATGGGCCTTTTGTGTTGGAATCTCTTAGAGTGTTGGTTAAAGAAGCCACCAGCCTCCAAGGGAATGCTGTGGAAGGGTAATATGTTTGTACATTGAATAGAAATAATGTAACATCATGCTAGTCTTGTCTGTGTGCTGGATCAAGATTTGTTAGGAAGAGGACATTTCAAAATAGTGGAGATTGACGCAGGGAAACTCAGCGGAGGACACCAGTAAAATACATTCCAGCACTTCTTGACTTAGTTCCAGGCAATTTCCCTTCTTCAGGAGGTGAGGAATTAGTAACTTAAAGGGATTAATTCCTACCAGCCACTATGCTAACATGCATTATCTTTCTTAAACTCAGCCATTTGATGAGGTCAGGAACCTGTTAGCTTCGTTAAGGATTAGGTGATTGGTCCAAGTCACCTGGCCTTGTGAGTGGTAGAGCAAGTATTTTAACGCAGGTTATTTCTGCACCAGAGCCATCTATAATGGTAGGGGGGGAAAAGTACAAATCTGGCAAAGGATAGAAACTAAGTTTGGGGGGAAAGTCAGGATTTTAAAAGACTGCCACAGTTGAATTGCTTTCTGTATTATGCCCTTTTCGGGGGAGCCTGGAGCAGTGTTTTAGTAGGAGTGGGGCTGGGGAAAGGGATTGGATTACTATGACAGGCAGGTGGAAGAAAAGGAAGACTATCCAATGTGTAAGCCTTGCCAACAAGTGACGAATGCCTGCAGGTCATCTACTCATATTCTGTAGCAGTGATTCTCAAAGTATATGAGGCCCTTTTGGCATACTTTAAGGTCAGAATTATTTTCATAATACTAAGATACTGTTTGCCCTTTTTTTTTTTTTTTTGAGATGGAGTCTCGCTTTGTTTCCCAGGCTGGAGTGCAGTGGTGCGATCTTGGCTCACTGGGAGCTCTGCCTCCTGGCTTTATGCCTTTCTTCTGCCTCAGCCTCCCGAGTAGCTGGGATTACAGGCGCCCGCCACCACGCCTGGCTAATTTTCTATATTTGTAGTAGAGACGGGGTTTCGCCGTGTTAGCCAGGATGGTCTCTATCTCCTGACCTCGTGATCCTCCCACCTCGGCCTCCCAAAGTGGTGGGATTACAGGTGTGAGCCACCGCGCCCAGCTGCCCTTTTCACTTTAATTCTCTTGCATGTAAACTGTGAAGTTTTCCAGAGGTTACATGACAGGTGATGTGGCAACAGATTGAATGGAAAAACAGATACGAGCTGTCTTTTGTTGTCAGACATTAAAGAGAATTGCAAAGATACAAAGCAGTGCCATTCTTCTCACCAATTTAAAAAAAATTTTAAATAAAAACACTCATGTTAACATTTAATAAATATATTATTCTTAAATTTGTTAATATTTTAAGTTTCTTCCTAGTTTTAATTTCTAATATAATAAATAGATAAAACCCACATTAACAAGCTCTTTGGAGTCTCAGTTTTAAAGCTCTGGTTTAAGATTGTAAAGGAGTCCTGAGATGAAAAAGTTTGAGAACCTCTGTAGCAGCCACCACAGTCAGCCGACATAATTTCTAGTAATTGTAATTGGAAGAGAATGGGGGCATTTCTCTCCTTTCCTTATCCCATCTCTCTGCTACCTTCTTACGCTGTCTGGGGGAGCTGTCTTCTACCTTCTATCTTATTTTTATTTTAAGTGAGGTACCATTTACATGGAACGGAATGATAGCACTTTCAATTTTAAGTTCGGTTAAAATTTTAAAACATAATGTTTCTTTCTTTTTTTTTTTTTGAAATGGAGTCTCACTCTGTCGCCCAGGCTAGAGTGCAGTGGCACGATCTCGGCTCACTGCAACATCCACCTCCTGGGTTAAAGCAATTCTCCTACCTCAGCCTCCCGAATAGCTGGGATGACAGGTGCATGCCTCCACGCCCGGCTAATTTTTTTTTGTATTTTAGTAGAGACAGCGTTTCACCGTGTTGCCCAGGCGAGTGATGAACTCCTGAGCTCAGGCAACCCCCCCGCTTCAGCCTCCCAAAGTGCCGGGATTACAGGCATGAGCCACTGAGCTCAGCCTCATAATGTTTCATTCTAAGGTCAACTGAATGCTTCAATTGCCTGTGTCTTACCAATTTTACCTACAGTGCTTTAAAATGGTGAGGTTCATTCAGAGCTTTTTTGGTAAAATCTGTGCACTGGTTGATACAATTTGACTTTAAGCTTGAACCAGGAGACCCCAGGTTAGATACAGAATTTCAGTAAGGAACTGATTGTAAACATTGGTGGAGGGAGTATGTGGCTTTTCAGCATGAGGATACATTTTCTGGTATTTGTTCTAGTGGGTATGTTGGAGGAGGGGGATTCTCAGAACCGTGGTTTTCATTTAGACAGCCAGTTATTGTGTTCTGTCACCATCTTTGCTAAGTTCATGCAGATAAAATGAGATTGCGATTAAAAGTGATTGTATGTTATTTTTCCAGCAGGACATCTAACTGCACTTGTTAGTTAACTCTTAAACAAGTAAGTCATGCTCTTTGAGACTGAATAGGGAGTCACACTAGTTCCTTGAAGCTTAATTGATCCTTTGATCGAATGGCTGTTATTACCAAATTGTTTTTCCCCCACAGTGCCTTGTATTGAAGGAGGAGCCTTGGCCATAATGCCAGTTGATGAGTACTGGCTGTGTTTACCAGCCTCTCATGCTAGACCTTTTGTGCAGACTGTCAGGGTGGTGCAGTCTTGCCCCCACTGTTGCTGGTTTCCAGGTGTTCTCCCTTCAGTCCCTGAGGCACTACATATGCCTGCCATGCTGCCAACAGGTAGCCACAGTGCTGTGCTTCCTCCTTCACATTGCTCCACCGCATCCCCTTCCACATCCCAAGAACCTTGTTCTTCTGCTGACCCCAAGCTCTGCCTTTCACCCCCTGCATCTGATGGTAGGCAAGAGAGAAATGTGCAGTTTGGGCTGGTAAGTTTGGGGGCTCTTTTTGTTATTAAAGTTAAGACTTTTTGTTTGTTTGTTTTTTTAAATGAGATGGAGTCCAGTGGTGCGATCTTGGCTCACTGCAACCTCTGTCTCCCGGGTTCAAGTGCTTCTCCTGCCTCAGCCTCCAGAGTAGCTGAGATTACAGGGGCCCACCACCATGCCTGGCTAATTTTTGTATTTTTAGTAGAGAGAGGGTTTTACCCTGTTGGCCAGGCTGATCTCGAACTCCTGACTTCAAGTAATCCTCCCGCCTCGGCCTCCCAAAGTGCTGGTATTACAGGCGTGAGCTGCTGCGCCTGGCCTAAGACTTGAGTTTTTGAAAACATTTTATTGTGCTTATTAACAACTTTCTCAGTCATTATCTCTTGTTAACATAGATTTTTATTTTAGTAAGAGATAATATTAAATATATCGCCAAAATATCATATTAAACTGATTTGAAATATAATTAATGTGTATCAGAATAATATTAGTGGAATGAAAGGATTTTTTTAAAAATTGAGAGTCTAACACCTAAATTATAAAAGTTTGTTACTTGCTAAGTATATGGAAACTAAATATTAAATATGGGAGACTTCATGCATATGCAATTAAAGGAATGAACTTTGCAGAGTTGTGCCTATTTAAAATATCCTACAAAAGCAGCAACTTTCACGTTTAACTTTTCATGCAGTTCAGTATCAATTGACAGTTCTGTTCTGATTTTCTAGATGTTATGCCCCAGCCAAACAGTACAGAAAAGTCTTAAATAAATATTTGGCTGATCTTTTAAAATTGTTATATTGATATTAAGCTATGCCCATATTTACCAAGCCCCTATCTTTAAAACCTAGTTTAAAAATTCTAGGAAAAAAAGGCTGATGATTAAACCTGATTTAGACCTAAGCTGGTTTACTTATGTGGAGGTAATATACGAACACTTCAAAGTAGTTAGCAATGACAGTGTTTGGGGCTAATAAACTAACATAAAGCAAGCAGTTCACAACTTTAAGGAAGGTTGAATATTTCCATCTGTATGCTGTAATTATAAATCAAACAACATTTTCCCTTTGAAAATTCCTTTTGTTTTTCTTTAAGAAAAGGTTTTCTTAAAAGCTTTTTGGACATTGCTGATTTTAAGTTAAATTATTTTCTCTCCTGTTATTTTTCTTTAGGCTTATCAGGAGGGCAGACTTCAAAAGCTACTAAAAATGAACGGCCCTGAGGATCTTCCCGAGTCCTATGACTATGACCTTATCATCATTGGAGGTGGCTCAGGAGGCCTGGCAGCTGCTAAGGCAAGGCTCCTTGTGTTGTGTGTTGTCTGGGTGGTAGTTAGAATATTAACATTCCTCACAGGGTTCTCTCCGCTGTCTGTGGAATTTATTTGATCCACTTTTGTGACATTTTGCACATTAACTTGGGCAGGACATGGACATGATAAGGGACCACTTTATAAATCATTTTTCCAGATTGAAATATACATTACTTATATAAAAGTACAGGGCCCAGTAGTTCGGAACATGTTTCCACTCACTTTAAAGTTTAGTTGATTTCTCAGAGATAATAAGGGTGTTGTGCCTGGTGCAGTGGCTCACCACGGCTGTAATCCCAGCACTTTGGGAGTCCAAGGTGGGTGGATCACCTGAGGTCAGGAGTTCAAGACCAGCCTAGCCAATGTGGTGAAACCCCATCTCTACTAAAAATACAAAAATTAGCTGGGTGTGGTGGTGGGTGCCTGTAATCCCAGCTACTTGGGAGGCTGAGGCAGGAGAATGGCTTGAACCTGGGAGGCTGAGTTTGCAGTGAGCTGAGATCGCACCATTGTACTCCAGCCTGGGCAACAGGAGCAAAACTCTGTCTCAAACAAAAAAAAAATATATATATATAGGTGTTGTGTGGAAATGGTTTGAAATTAAGCAAATATATTTCTTAATTAATATTTGTCTTTTTCACTTGATGATTTCCCTGTTCATAACCCCTTCTCTCCAGTATAAAAAAGATGGAGAGCAATTGGGTTTCTTAAACCCGTTTATTAAAAATGATTTGCTTTCTGTGTATGTGCGGTTAATAACCACTAACTCTGTGGTCTGAGGGTGATTGGGAAGAGGATGTATAAATAAAGAAGGTTAGAAGTGAGGCTCCTGGTCCTGAATCAAGATAAATTTCCCATGTGAGGACCCCTTGGGCCTGTCATCCTTACCCAACAGGTTCCTTTAAAAGATGAAGTGGTTATACTTCCCTAAGGTGTAGCTTGTGTTGAATCAGTAATGGGTAGAAGCTGCCCAAGTTAGGGGCAGACCAGCATGAAGCAGTGCTTTGCTGAAAGTAATTCAGGAATAATACCTGATGTGTTTTACTCCAGGGATGGTGTGTTTGAAAGACATGTAGACTCAGTCCTTTCAAATAACCTTTGGAGGTCTAGTTGCCAATATACAAAGTTTATTCTCTGAGAAAGAAAAGATACTCTGCAAAACAAACTTCTAACTCTTGTTTCCTTCCCTCAAAGTAGAATTGGAAACATCATAGATATTGTCAACTTTTTAATGAGCTCCTCATGTGAAATTTTTAGGAAGTCTTGTAATACAGAAGAAAAACTTCTTCAGTATTCTGCTTTAGAAACCAAATTAGATTAAACTTTAAAATGATTTTTAAAATATCACCTTATAGGATACAGGTTGCATTAAGGGCTGTAGACTGTCAGTAAACCTGCTTTTTCAGCTACTTGGCAACTTGCTTGGAAATGGCCACTTTCTTTTTTCAGGTATTGCTTAATCTGTTACTGTTTGAATGGAGTTATGTGAGAAGTCTAAGGTTTCCAGCTGATTCTAACAATTTTACTACTCTATTATGCATAATTTTAAAATCTACTCTCACAACTATCTGAATATCTGTTAATTTTTATCCTGGAGTTGAATTAATCATCATGATGTGTGTGAAGTACCCAGGTATTAATTACTCGTTATGCTTTAAGCTCTATAGCTTAAAAAAAAATCATAGATTTTTAACAGCCCATTTCCAATCTGTCATGTTAACCTTTCCAACTCACTTTAATAATTTTATTTTCCAGGAGGCAGCCCAATATGGCAAGAAGGTGATGGTCCTGGACTTTGTCACTCCCACCCCTCTTGGAACTAGATGGGGTAAGCTTTTAAAATACTCTAGAAGTGATGTTGCCGAAGTAGTTTTCCCCTGGCAGTAATCTAACTGGCTCCTAAAGCCTAATTTAAAAAATTAAAAACTAAGTTAAAGAAAAACTAGCCCCAAAACATATATATCTTTTATTTGAGCCAAGTTAAAATGGATCAGGTTAAATGCTAAAAATTTAGGTTCTTTGGCACAGAGTCAAGAAGTAAAAACCTTGTCTACAAGCTATGATTTAAAGGTAAATATTTGAGTAATCTAGCATATATAGGGGCTTAATAACTGAAAATTTAAACTTTTCATATGTGGATTTCTGTTTTAAATCTACCTCCTACATTGAACAAAACTGGAATGAGATACCTTACTGCCTAGCCCTTACTGCTTCTCGGTCTTGATGAATTATATGTTCATTATTCATTTATTCAGCAAATGTTTATTGAACATTTATTATGAACCATGGCAGTGATGATATAGCAGTGAACTTGGCACATTCAAAGTTCCTGCCCTTGTGGAGCTTATATTCTAAGTGGGGAGACGAAAGATACGTAAGAACTTTAGGAGTTGTGGTAAGTGGTATTGAAAAAATTATATAGTGGCATAGAGACGAAGTGGATAAAGGAGAGTTTAACTTTGAGAAGATTATCAAGGAAGGCATCTGAAGAGGTGACATTTAGAAGAGGCCAAAGAATGAGAATGAGCCAGCTGTCAAAAGGTGAGGCAGAACTTTCCAGGCAGCTTCTCTTTCTTCGAGGATAGCACATACAAAGGCCCTGAGGTAGGTAAGAGTCCTTCATGGTTGTGGCATAGATAATGGGAGCTGGAGGTGGTAGTGTGAGGTGAGACCAGAGAGGAAGGCAGGTGTCCCTATCGAGGGCTTTGTAGGCCCAGATAAGGAATTTGGACTAATCAAAGCATATAATTTGGACTAAATTGGACTAATCAGAGCATATAAATGAGCTTTTGAAGACTCTAAGGCAGGGGAGCCATGTGATAATATAACATTTTTTAAAGATGACTTGGCTGCTTGCATTAGAAGGAACCAAGAAGCAGGAAGTCCAGATAAGGCGATGTCACAATTTCCGATTCATCCGTTCAGCAGACACTTAATGTGTCAATCTGTGTCAGACACTGCTCTTGTTGCTAGGTATTCCCCTTCTGACCTGTGAAGTTTATACTCCAGAGAGATGCTGGTAGCATTCTGCTCAGAGGACCGACTTTGAGCTGTGAAGTCTGTTGCCATCTTTCACTCTTAACTCATGTCATTTTGGTCACCTGCCTGTGTTTTGTTCTAATGGAAACAAGCTGTAACCATGTTCTTTAAGCTTAGGGATACTAAAGTTTTTTTTTTAGGGAGCAAGGGAAGTCATGCATCCTTTAAAAAACCAAGTGAATGCTGTAGGCCACCTCCTTAAAAAAATGCACATCAACACCAAAAAAAATTTTTTTTTGAGATGGAGTCTCGCTCTGTTGCCCAGGCTGGAGTGCAGTGGCGCTATCTCGGCTCACTGCAACCTCCACCTCCTGGGTTCAAGCCGTTCTTCTGCCTCAGCCTCCTGAGTAGCTGGGATTACAGACATGTACCACCACGCCCGGCTAATTTTTTTGTACTTTTAGTAGAGATGGGGTTTCATCATGTTGGCCAGGCTGGTCTCAAACTCCTGACTTCAAATGATCCACCCACCTCGGCCTCCAAAATGCTAGGATTACAGACGTGAACCACCACGCCTGGCCCATATACACCAAATTTTATGTGTAGTTTAAGAATCACTACACTCTAATCGCCTAGCATAACAACGCCTTTATCAGTTACCTCTGTGCATAGATTCAATGGCAAGTGCAGATGCTGCTTGAATTACAATGGGGAACTACATCCTGATAAAATGCTTTGTAAGTTGAAAACAAGTCAAAAATGCATTTAATACACCTAACCTCCTGAACATCATAGCTTAGCCTAGTCTACCTTAAACATGCTCTGAACACTTACATTAACCTACAGATGGGCAAAATCATCTAACACAAAGCCTATTTTATAATAAAGTGTTGAATATCTCATATAATTTATTGAATGCTGTACTGAAAGTGAAACACAGTATGGGTGTATGGGTATCAACATGAAGAGAAAAATCGTAAGTCGGGTCATCTATATAGGGTTGTGTACATAGTAAAATTTCAATTTCTGGCATCTTTATCAGCAATCAATTAATTTTCTATCTTTGAAGTATATGGAAATCGTGGAAATCTGCCCCTCTTTGTTTCGTTTTAGGATGATGTTACCGTGTTTGTTATGTAAGGGTCTCTGAACTGATGAATGTTGTAAGATTTAGGAATAAACTTTATTATTGGCCACATTAAGCAAATATAATACAATATTTCTTAGAGTTGTAATAATTGTTGACTTTGAAGATTTGTAAGGCTTGGAAAGCAGGCTATAAACTGATTTCTCAATGTTGTTGTAGGTCTCGGAGGAACATGTGTGAATGTGGGTTGCATACCTAAAAAACTGATGCATCAAGCAGCTTTGTTAGGACAAGCCCTACAAGACTCTCGAAACTATGGATGGAAAGTCGAGGAGACAGGTATGAGAGGGAAAAGCTACTCTTGTGTTTGTGCTTTTGGTGGTTTGAGCTGCAATCTTTGTAATGCATCATCAATTTTCATGAAGAGAGCAAATAGCCCAGTTGTTTTTATTGTTTACATTTTTTATGGATATAATCACTGGAGTTATCCTTTGTCAAGTATTTACATAGTTATGGTAACAACAGATATTGCATTTGGATTATGGTATTTCTATAATATAAAATTAGAGTTCTTTTGAATATATTGTCATGTAGTGTTTGTGAGAAATCATACAATGTTTATAATTTGTAAGAAAGTACTAATTGCATTTGCTTTCTTTTAAAGCTGTTACATTTTTCTTCCTCCAAAGAAGTCTTGTTTCATGAGCCGATATTTGGGGGGGTGGGGGTTGTTTGTTGAGGAGGGGGTGGTTAGACTTTGTTGGATTAAAAATATTTAGAGCACTCTAAAAACCCTAGACGAGTTGAAGAGATTGGAATTGTTAATTTAATTTAATTTAATTTATTTATTTATTTTGAGACAGAGTCTCACTCTGTCACCCAGGCTGGAGTGCAGTGGTGCCATCTCGGCTCACTGCAAGCTCCGCCTCCTGGGTTCACGCCATTCTCCTGCCTCAGCCTCTCGAGTAGCTGGGATTACAGGTGCCCACCACCACACCTGGCTAATTTTTTGTATTTTTTGTAGAGATGGGGTTTCACCCTCTTAGCCAGGATGGTCTTGATCTCCTGACCTCGTGATCCACCTGCCTTGGCCTCCCAAAGTGCTGGGATTAACAGGCATGAGCCACCATGCCCAGCAGAATTGTTAATTTTAGAAAGTAGATTGCATTATCTAGTAGAAGAATAAAGTAAGATTTGGCATAGCTTCCTGGCTAATTTATGACGTATGTCACTCTGTTGTGAAGAGTGAAACTCCAACCCCTATCTGATTTGAGGTTTGAGACCTATGCATTATGGAGCATTTGAGGGAAAATACTCCAGCCAGTAGCCAGGTTAAACTATTTTGTGGCTTTTTCAGGGTTTTAATTGTGTATTAAATGTAAAGATAAGGCATAAATACATGCTTGGAAAAATTTTGCTGTCACTCAAACTAGTTATGCTTCTTTTCTTGATGCTTTTACTTCCTACTTAAGATAATAGTACCTTTTCCAAGTCTAGAATCTTAGAAAATCACCAACTTTTAAAGTTTTATAATGTTGGGGTCACATTGTTTGCTCAGATCCTTAAGAGAGAGAGGGATATAAGAAGAAATTTTGTAAAACATTGGTAATTACTGCAGCTTAGATGATTAGCATGTGTAGGTGAGTTATATACTATTCTATTCCACTCCTAGTAGAGAAACAGCAAGTCCTGAGACTTTTGTAGTGGTAGACAGGCCAGGCAGGCAGGTTAGTCCAACCTTCCTGCAGCCTTCCCCGCCCACAAGCTACCTGGTCCTCTAGAACCATAACCACAGTGGCATCTGCAGTTACTTTTTTTTTTTTTTTTCTTTCAGTTGAACCAATCTCTTTAAGGTTCGCTCTAATTCTAACATATTATGATCATATGAATTGAATTCAATATCCATAATCTATCTGTTCTCTTGGAGGCTATAAATCAGTTTTTTGTGCTGTCATTCCCACTTCCAGAGGCTGGCCAGTAAGTGTTATAAGCCTGTTTTAACACTTACTGTATAGCCAGTCTACTTGCCCACTGAATTAGAGACTCACATTCCTCATTTCAATGAGAGAAGCTTTCAGTATATGTTGATTCTCTTCTTCCTTCCAAACCACAGCTGCCCTAGGTAGGACCTGTCTTTTGCCTACCACCAGAGTATATTTACCTGTATCTTATTTATTTCCCTAGTCATTTATAAGATATTGATTATTGGGCCAGGTGGCTCATGCCTGTAATCCCGACAGTTTGGGAGGCCAAGGGGAAGGATCAGTTTGAGACCAGAAGTTCAAGACTACCTTAGGCAACAAAGCAAGACCCTGTCTCTTAAAAAAAAAAAAAAATTAGTTGGGCATGGAAGCCCTCTCCTATAGTCCCAGCTTCTTAGGAGGCTGAAGCAGGGGGATAATTTGAGCCCCGGAGTTTGAGGCTGCAGTGAGCTGTTATTGATTGTACCACTGCACTCCAGCCTGGGCAACAGAGTGAGACCCTGTCTCTAAAGAAGAGATTATTGAGGCTGGGTGCAATGACTCGTGCCTATAATCCCAGCACTTTGGGAGGCTGAAGTGGGCAGAGCACTTGAGGTCAGGAGTTTGAGACCAGCCAGACCAACATGGCAAAACTGCGTCTCTACTAAAATTACAAAAAATTAGCTGGGCGTGGTGGCCCACACTTGTAGTCTCAGCTACTTGGGAGGCTGAGGCATGAGAATAGCTTGAACCCTGGGGTTGGGGGTTCAGAGGTTGCAGTGAGCCCAGATTGAGCCATTGCATTCCAGTCTGGGCAACAGGGCAAGACTCTGTCTGGGGGGGGAATAAAAAAGAGAGATTATTGAATACCCAAGGGTTGATTTTTATCCTTTGAAATTTAATATTACTTTAGTGACCTGAGGATTAATTTAATTATGACAGAATCAAAAAGAATAAAAAAGTTTTCTCTTTGATGAGATATGGGAGTTTGGAGGGAAATGTGATGGACTCTTAAAATTCTGTCTAAATGAACAGTCAGTGAATTTTTTCCATAAAAGGCTAGATGGTAAATATTTCAGGATTCTTGGGGCATAGGGTCTCTAGTAGCTACTTAACTCTGCCCATGTAGTGTGAAAGTAGCACTAGAAAATATTGAAATGAATAAGCATGGCTGTATTTTAATAAAACTTTATTTACAAAAAGGTGATGGGCTGGATTGGCCCATGGTTTCAGTTTGCCAGCCCCTGGCATAAACATTGTTACTAGTGTAGTAACTCCATACTTGGCTACATCAGAATCTCTTGGATTTTCTTACAAATAGAGAATCCTAAGCCTTAATATATCCCAGAAATCAGTAAAATTCAAGTTCATTTCTAGATAAAGAAGGGAAGAGTTTGTGTATTGTTATTTTAGTTTAAAATTGTCAGGAGATCTGTCTTGTATTATTTAATTGTATTAGTCTTATAAAAGAGAAAGAATATTCAAAGATGAAAAAGTGGCATATGTGCTCAAAGTGGAGGATTTGCCCTTTTAGATTGCCTTTTAGAGCTCTGCTCCTTGTATTTCACTTGAGTGATTATTGAGAAATGATCTTTGCCAGGAGTTGAAAAGCCAAACAAGATTTTGTCTTATTTCCTTATACAGTTAAGCATGATTGGGACAGAATGATAGAAGCTGTACAGAATCACATTGGCTCTTTGAATTGGGGCTACCGAGTAGCTCTGCGGGAGAAAAAAGTTGTCTATGAGAATGCTTACGGGCAGTTTATTGGTCCTCACAGGATTAAGGTAATTATGTGACATCCTGACTAGTTTTGTTTTTTTTTTAAAAGCTTTCGTTGGAAAATGTTAAAGTATTATAATAAAAGTAATAGCCACTGTGACCCAGACTATCCAGTTTGGTGATTTTGCTGTCATATCATCCTATGGGGCCTTGTGTGGAGGTATGGTAAAATGTAAGCGTACTGAACCAGACCACCTGGATTTGAGGTTTGGCTCTGGCACTTACTAGCATTGTGACTTTGAGCAAGTCTGTTAACTACTCAGTCTTAATTTATCCTTTTTACTATATTATTGTCCTCATTATGAGGATGAAATGAGACAATGTAGTGAATGGCCTTTGTTAACTATGAAGTTTACAATTCTGAGGAATGATTACTTAATAAGGTTTTCATATTGGTTCCTTTGTAGGCAACAAATAATAAAGGCAAAGAAAAAATTTATTCAGCAGAGAGATTTCTCATTGCCACTGGTGAAAGACCACGTTACTTGGGCATCCCTGGTGACAAAGAATACTGCATTAGCAGGTAAAGAAAAAAAGCAGGGTGGAAAAGAAAAACCTATTGTGGATTTTGCTTTCACATTTTTCTTCAAACCCACTTCGTCAATTTTTTGGACTTCAGACAGATTTCTTTGCCACATTGTGCCCTCTCTGGGGGCAGGGGTTTAGGAGAAAGAGAAAAAGGAAAAATGATTTTAAAGGAGAACTTTTTTTTTTTTTTTTTGAGGCGGAGTCTCACTCTGTCACCCAGGCTGGAGTGCAATGGCCATCTCAGCTCACTGCAAGCTCTGCCTACCGGGTTTACACCATTCTCCTGCCTCAGCCTCCTGAGTAGCTGGGACTACAGGCGCCTGCCACCTCGCCTGGCTATTTTTTAGTAGAGACGGGGTTTCACCGTGTTGACCAGGATGGTCTCGATCTCCTGACCTCGTGATCTGCCCGTCTCGGCCTTCCAAAGTGCTGGGATTATAGGCTTGAGCCACCGCGCCCGGCCTAAAGGAGAACATTTTAAATATTGAAAACTTCAAACATTGGTCATCTTGCTACACAGAATTAGTATCACTAACATACTAGTATAGATTTATATTTACATTTGTATTTGAAATTTATGCATGTGTATGTAAGTATGTAATCAATGGATATTCACATTTTGTAAAATAGGTATGATACATATATACATTTAGATTTTGTAAAATGAGGATCATATATTACCCTTTAACACTTGCAGAGTGGCTGCTAAAAGAAATAGAGGCTGGCAGGTCATTTAGATTTATCAGACTGTAGACCCTACTCAATGCTGTTGAACGGTTACGGTGTCAGTGTAGAAGGACCTCCTGAAATGAGTCAAGCAAGGAGATGTTTTGCTGTGTGGTTTATTTTTGCCTGTCAAATGGTAACACTGCTGACATTGTTCAGGAGCTTTCAATTATGAAGTCATTAAGACAGAGTGTTGGTAAATGTGTTTGGATCCCTTTTGCTCAGGAGTTTCTGATTGTGTTATAAATTACTCTTCTCCTTAAGGCTCTTTTTGGTATATGCTTTTATCCTTTCTCACATGGTGGAAGAGGTCTCAGGGGCCTTTTTTATGAGGACATTAGCCCCATTCATGAGTGGTCTGCCCTCATGGCCTAATCACTTCCCAAAAGCCCCACCCCTGATATCATTGCCTTGGGGTTTAGGATGTTAATCTATGCATTTGGGGGGTACATAAACATTCAGACAATAGCAGGCCCCCTTCTGATATTTTTTAAAAACTCATTCTCTAACAATGCTTTTATGATCTCTGTGTCCCTAGCTCAACTAGAAGACTTTTGTCAGGTTCTACTTTTTATAGTTGACTTTTATATTATAAGATATTGAAAGTTTTTTTCCCCCCCATTCTTGTCCACATTCTTGATAATAATTGGTGTTTCAGCTGAGGACAGGTAACACAGGTTTTTCCACCTCAGAGAGAGCTGAGTGGTGGCATGAGGATGGAGGTTAGGGTTTGCAAATCTGTGATTTATTCCAAACAGTTCAAAATCATTTAGTGTGAAGATGAATTGGACTAACTGACTAATATCAGAAGTCACACAGTTTGCTGTGTTTAGCTGTGGGTAGCTTGAGCTACTCCCAAAGCAGCTGAGTGGCAAGAAAGGGTATTTAAGAATTATAAAAACTTCTAATGTATTATGTGTGTAGCTAGTAGAATGTTTATCATCTTGAAAGTATGTTCTTATCAAAGTAAAAATGTGTACTTGGATTTAGTAATTACTCATATAGGAACTTTTTTTTTCTTCTTTCTTTTTTTTTTTTTTTCCAGTGATGATCTTTTCTCCTTGCCTTACTGCCCGGGTAAGACCCTGGTCGTTGGAGCATCCTATGTCGCTTTAGAGTGTGCTGGATTTCTTGCTGGTATTGGTTTAGATGTCACTGTTATGGTTAGGTCCATTCTTCTTAGAGGATTTGACCAGGACATGGCCAGCAAAATTGGTGAACACATGGAAGAACATGGCATCAAGTTTATAAGACAGTTTGTACCAATTAAAGTAAGTGGGTTTGCCTGTAGGTTTGTTGATTCTACATTCAGGTAAAAGGCAAAAAGAGAGTTGAGTTGGTGGTGGAAGCATCCTTTCAGCATTATAAACCATCAGGAATGCTGATTCCCCTACTGCTGTATGCTGGTATATAAACTCGTACCTCCCTACCATCTAAAGACCTATATAGCTTTGTTCTTATTTATAGATTAATAATCTCTTCGTTTGTCAACTTTCTCACTTTTGGTTTTCTTCTGTTCAGTGCTTTCCTTTATGCATTCCTTTGTCATCTTTGGTCTGTTAATACTTTGTTTCTTCATATACACCAGAGATTTAAATAAGAGTTCAAGACTAGGCCCTACCTGCACTCCCTGGCTCCCCGTAGGACATTTCCCCCTTGGTATATGGTACAGTCTCAACATAAACACTACATACTTCTGGCATCCCGCTTATCTCATTTATTTATGTGTGCTAACCTTTTTCACTCTTTTAATCTTTTGAAAAGACCTAATACTATGCCAAGTCACACCTGGGATTTGTTAACATTATCAGAAATGTTTTGATACATAAGAGTGACAAAATTGAACACTTAGTGTACGTCTCAGACTAATAGATAATTTTCTCTAGTGCAGGGAAAATGGTGGGACTATTTTGTTAAACTTAAGGAATTGTAGTTGTCATTTCTTTTCATCTCTCAGTGGGTTGACTTGAGTTGTGTATGTGACTATGGATCTCCTAATGCTGATACATAAGAATATGAACTTTGGGATTGGAATGACCTGAATTCACATACTATTCTGCCAGTTTCTTGCTCTATGACTTTGGAAGAGTTACCTCTCTGAACCTGTTTCTTCTGTAAAATGAGGTTGATAACAGCATCTAACAATTCTTGTGAGAATTGCATTAGCCAACACTTATAAAGTAATTAGAAAAGTACCTGGTAGAGAGTAAGTCTAAAGTAAATCTATCTCATAATATCGTTGTGAAGATTAAGGCACAAATTTCCTGGAAGCTGTCAGTGCTTGATTACTGTAGCTGTTTTTTATTTTTACTTTTTTTTTTTTTTTTTGAGACGGAGTTTGGCTCTGTCACCCAGGCTGGAGTGCGGTAGCCCAATCTCGGCTGGCTGCAACCTCTGCCTCCCAGGTTCAAGCGATTCTGTTGCCTCAGCCTCCTGAGTAACTGGGGCCACAGGTGCATGCCACCACACCTGGCTAATTTTTGTATTTTTAGTAGAGAAGGCTTTCACCATGTTGGCCAGGCTGATCTTCAACTCCTGACCTCAAGTGGTCCTCCCAGAGCAGCGTCCGAAAGTGCTGGGATTACGGGCTTGAGCCACCGCACCTGGCCTAGCAGTAGAGGTATATATGCTATATTTGCAGTAGAGCTATGATTCATAACAACAGTAAACAATAGTTGTGTGTATATGCTGTACTGATAGAAAGTAACATCTTCCTATATATATATTTTTTAACATATGGGGAATTGTGGACCCTTTTGAAAACCTGGTGGACTATTCCTAGTAAAATAGGGTTACCAGAGTATCTGATTCCCACAGCTGGGTATTAAACTCTTGCTGTATTATAAAGTGACCGAATGGAAGGAACCTTCTGTGGAGAGTGGGGAGAGGGTACATTTTTTACAGAGAATGTAGTATGTGTAGAAAGGCTCTGTGGGAAGAAATATTGTTCTAGATACAAAAAAGGCCTGATTGAAGTACAAAAGTGAATAAGGGTGGAGGTGGGATGAGGACCTTAATGTTTCCAAACTAATCTTAAGCAGTGGACCAGTTAAGCTCTTTTCCAAGGATTAGAACATTTTAATTAAAGTTAAACAAGAAAGACTTTTCCAGTATGTTCAGAGAGGCTTATTTAACTATATAAGAAGGAAAGGGAATTCAGGAAGGAAATTTTTATTACTTATTGATGTCAAATAAAATAACCCTGGATAGTTTTCCAGGTGGGTTTCTAAGTCATTAAACCTAGTCTGTAGGTTGTCATTGACATCTATGTGTAGTGGGTTGATATATTTATTCTCATCTGCCATCACTCAAGTATCAGGGCTCGCTCATATCTTTCTACATCCTTAACAACTGAAAACAACCCCTGGTTCTGATAAACACCCACATCTCCTTGCCCACTCCAATTTTTAAGACGTTCTAGCTGTTACCCAAATCACTATTGACCTACTCTAATTTAATCTATCCTTTGTTGTCAATGAAAGCTGAGCATCTGTAGTCAAAAGAGAATCTCTGAATTTGGGCAACAGTTGCCCTCCATGGGATTAATGGTTCTGGGTGAATCACAAGATAGAAACCTGGGAAAAGCAGTAAGTCATTGGTTTGATTTTTAGGGATGGTAGTGTGCTTTGTGTAGCTTGCTTTTTTTCCCCGTTTTTCTCTGAATTTTATTGTTTGAGAACTCTTTAAAAGAAAGCCCTTCTAGCAGACAACATTGAGCAGTGAAAAAGAAGGAGATAATCATTTATCATCCTAATGTTAAGTGAGGGAGATGGGACATAAAAGACCTATCAAGCAAGATTTTATATTTTAACTTTGGGTTAACCAGATGGAAGGGGAAGGTAGATAATCCAACTTGATAAATGTCTTTATTTCACAGTAAAACTTGATCACTCTTACAGATTGAACAAATTGAAGCGGGGACACCAGGCCGACTCAGAGTAGTAGCTCAGTCCACCAACAGTGAGGAAATCATTGAAGGAGAGTATAATACGGTAAGGAATGGGCCCAGGTTAATACTTTATCAGAAAGCAAATAAAGTGCTTATTGGGTATCTTATAGGAACTTAAAATGGCTCTTAGTGATTTCCAAACGTACTGGTTCTATGCCCATTCTAAGACATCTCAGTAACTTATAATATTAAAATTTGTTTTGGTGGCTGGGCGTCTTGGCTCACGCCTGTGATCCCAGCACTTTGGGAGGCCAAGGCGGGTGGATCACAAGGTCAAGAGATTGAGACCATCCTGGCCAACATGGTGAAACCCTGTCTCTGTTGAAAATACAAAAATTAGCCGGACGTGGTGGCGTGCGCCTGTAGTCCTGGCTACTCGGGAGACTGAGGCAGAAGAATCGCTTGAACCCAGGAGGCGCAGATTGCAGTGAGCCAAGATTGTGCCACTGCACTCCAGCCTGGGCAACAGAGCGAGACTCCGTCTCAAAAAAAAAAAAAAAAAAGAAAATTGTTTTGCTAAAGGTATGGCTTCAGATTTTTTCCACTGTAACTTAAAGTATTAGTCAAATGGCTATACAAAGGCAACAGAATTTTTAAATGAGCCAGAATTTCTGTCCTGTGTTATTTCCTTTCATCTCTCCAGACAACCACTTAAAAAATAATTTAGTTACAGACTATGATGTCGTTGTCTTTAAACTTGGATAGGTTTATTAATTATGAATTCTCTTTTTCCTAATAAGAAATAGAAAATAATTTCTAATATATCATATATGTTCAAAGGATTTTTTCTGAAGATTTTAATTTATTTAAACTCTTGCATTATTTTCTTAGTGAAATATTTATTTCCGAGTTTGAAAAATGAAATCAGATTAGCTTAGTAAGCAGAGAAAAATAAGATTAAGTAATAAATACAAAGCCTTTTTGTTATTAGTCACTAATATATTAATAATTTTTCAGGTGTTGCTGGCAATAGGAAGAGATGCTTGCACAAGAAAAATTGGCTTAGAAACTGTAGGGGTGAAGATAAATGAAAAGTAAGAAAAAACCTTTATTATGTCATATTTATTTATTTACTTATTTATTTATTTTATTTGAGACAGAGTTTCTCTCTTGTCTCCCAGGCTGTAGTACAATGGTGTGATCTCGGCTCACTGCAACCTCTGCCCACTGAGATCGAGCCATTCTCCTGCCTCAGCCTCCCACGTAGCTGGGATTACAGGCATGCACCACCATGCCCGGCTAATTTTTGTATTTTTAATAGAGAGGGGGTTTCGCCCTTTTGGTCAGGCTGATCTTGAACTCCTGACCTCAGGTGATCCACCTGCCTTGGCCTCCCAAAATGCTGGGATTACAAGTGTGAGCCACTGTGCCTGGTCTGTTATGTCATATTTAATACTATTTCAGTTATTTACAGCGTTGGTCAGTTATAGAATTTTAGTTTTTTGTTTGTATGTTTGTTTTTTTGAGACAGAGACTTGCTCTGTCACCCAGGCTGGAGTGCAGTAGTGTAATCTCGTGTCACTGCCACCTCCGCTTCCTGGGTTCAAGCAATTCTTGTGCCTCAGCCTCCCTGGTAGCTAGATTACAGGTGCCTGCCATCACACCTATAATCATGCTGGCCAGGCTGGTCTCCATCTTTTGGCCTCAGGTGATCTACCCACATCAGCCTCCCAAAGTATTGGGATTACAGGTGTGAGCCACTGTGCCTGGCTGAATTTTAGATTTTTTAAAGCTAATTTTTACCATAGTTGAAGAGCTCAACTAGAAAACTTTTCTTCCAGTGCCATTCACATTAGTATTTCCTGTTTGTTTTCTTTTTCCATTTTGGGGGGAGTTATAATTTAGAATCCTCACTCTTAACCATTGTGTTGGAGTTCTTCCATTCTAAAATTTCTTAGTTTTCTTATTTCTTTGATTTTCAGAATAGTGACCAGAATTGTCATGAAAAGCTATTTTGTTCCTTTGAGCTGTTTTGTTATATTTTTAATACATTAGAACATTGCCCTCAGCTAGAGTCACAATTTTGGGCTTCCCTGGGAAAACAGAGGATTTTGTTATCCTTAATTAATAATGGTAATTAATGATTATTTTTAACTGTGTAAAATTGCAGGACTGGAAAAATACCTGTCACAGATGAAGAACAGACCAATGTGCCTTACATCTATGCCATTGGCGATATATTGGAGGATAAGGTGGAGCTCACCCCGGTTGCAATCCAGGCAGGAAGATTGCTGGCTCAGAGGCTCTATGCAGGTTCCACTGTCAAGGTGAGTGTTGTGCTTGTTACTCATTAGATACTGTTGTCAGCAATACTCCCAGTTCCTTATTTAGGGGGCAGTTGGAAAGTTTTGCAGATCTTGAATAATTTAGTTATTTTGGTGATGGCATCCTAGATGTCCTTTATTAGCTATATTTCAGACAAATTATTAAGGCTGCTGTACATTGTGACTTTATTATGAAAATTGACACTCGACTGGGCACAGTGGCTCAGGCCTGTGATTACAGGACTTTGGGAGGCCGAGGCAGGCCGATCACCAGGTCAGGAGTTCAAGACCAGCCCGGCCAACATGGCGAAACCCCATTTCTACTAAAAATACAAAAATTAGCCGTGCATGGTGGCGTATGCCTGTAATCCCAGCGACTCTGGAGGCTGAGGCAGGAGAATTGCTTGAACCGGGAACTGGGAGGCGGAGGCTGCAGCGAGCCAAGATCGCGCCACTGTACTCCTGCCATGGCTACAGAGCAAAACTGTCTAAAAAAAAAGAAAAGAAAGCCGGGCGCGGTGGCTCAAGCCTGTAATCCCAGCACTTTGGGAGGCCGAGATGGGCAGATCACGAGGTCAGGAGATCGAGACCATCCTGGCTAACCCGGTGAAACCCCGTCTCTACTAAAAAATACAAAAAACTAGCTGGGCGAGGTGGCGGGCGCCTGTAGTCCCAGCTACTCGGGAGGCTGAGGCAGGAGAATGGTGTAAACCCGGGAGGCGGAGCTTACAGTGAGCTGAGATCCGGCCACTGGACTCCAGCCTGGGTGACAGAGTGAGACTCTGTCTCAAAAAAAAAAAAAAAAGGGGGCGGTGGCTCAGCTGTAATCCAGCACTTTGGGAGGCGAGACGGGTGGATCACGAGGTAGGAGATGGAGACGATCCGGCTAACACGGTGAAACCCGCTCTACTAAAAAAACAAAAAAAGCAGGCGAGGGGGGGCGCTGTAGCCAGCTCGGGAGGCTGAGGCAGGAGAATGGCGTAACCGGGAGGCGGAGCTGGTGAGCTGAGATCGGCACTGCACTCCAGCCTGGGTGACAGAGCAAGACACCGTCTCAAAAAAAAAAAAAAAAAAAAAAGAAAAGAAAATTGACATCTTGGATTCATACTATGAATAAAAAGAACTTGATTAATAGGTTTCAGCACTATTGTTCAATAGTGTACTTTATATCCATATACTCTAAATAGTTGCATTTTATATCTATGTCATCATTACCAATATAAATAAAATGTTCTGAGTCTTTTTATGGCACTTATCTAGGCTATAAAAGGACTTGAGGATTTAGGTAATGATGTCGGTATGCAAAGTAGTTTAAACCACTCTTCAGGCCTTATTACCCAGTCCTTAGAAAATAATCTGTCTTAGAATGTGATAGGGGGCGGTGGCTACGCTGTATCAGCATTGGAGGCTGAGGGGGCGGATCAAGGTCAGGAATGGACCATGGTGAAACCCGTCTCTACTAAAATAGAAAAATTAGCGGGCGCAGTGGGGGGCTGTAGTCCAGCTCGGGAGGTGAGGGGAGATGGGTGAACCGGGAGGCGGAGCTGCAGTGAGCGAGATTGCGTCACTGCACTCCAGCCTGGGCGACAGAGCGAGACTCCGTCTAAAAAAAAAAAAAAAAAGAATGTTGAATACATTAAATGTTATATTAAATTTTAAAGTGATTTTTTAAAAGCCAGTATAGGATGTTAAAATTCTTCAGTATGTTTCATGGGACTAGATGGCCAGAAAAGAATAAAGACAGCTGTTTTTTAAAAAGGATTCCAGAAACATTAGTTGTAAATAATGTTGGTGTTACCCATTTTCCTTATCATGGTTTCAGTTGGTTACAGTAATGGGAACCTCAAAGAGTGATGCTAGCAAAATTTGTGACCTGGGGTTACTTGGGATGTAATGTAATAAAATCTCGTATTTTGAATTAATGGATTGAGGGTTAAGATATTGAATGCCAGATTGACTGATTATTTAGGGAATAGCAGTTGGTTCATATTACTATTTAGAATAAATTTAACAAGACTGCCTCTTTGAATTACATCTTGTGTGCATTGTTGCACTTATTGCGTATCGGGTATCTCAATATAGCTTGAGATTGGATGCATTTAATTTATTCTTAAATTCATGTCTCAGTGGTTTCCTTAAAAAAAAAAAAAAAAAGCTAAATCATTGAATGGAGTTGTGCTTTAAAGTAAGATATGGCTGGGCACAGTGGCTCACACCTGTAACCCAGCACACTGGGAGGCTGAGGCAGGAGGATCACTTGCCCAGGAATTCGAAACCAGTCTGGGCAACATGGCGAAACCCTATCTCTATAAAATATACAAAAAATGAGATGGGTGAGGTGGCGTGTGCCTCTAGTCCCAGCTACTCAGAGGGCTGAGGTGGAAGAATAAACTGAACTTGGGAGGTCAAGGCTGCAGTGAGCTGTGATCATGCCACTGCAGTCCAACCTGGGCATCAGAGTAAGACCTTGTCTCCAAAAAAACAGAAAAAAATTCATGGGTCTTTTTGTTTCCTTGGACATACTATTGTATGTCTCAGCCATAATCTAAGAAGACCTCTGTAGACCTCAGGAACTCTCTTTACACATGCAATTCCATCCGCTTTGGTTTTGTGACTTGCAACTTGAAACCACCTTGGCTTACAGGAAAGACCCTGGGCTCTGTTTGAGCTCTCCCTCCCTGCACTGAGGCTTAGAAACTGCCTCTGAGCAGTAAGCTGGAGCAGTCACAGGACTCATCTCATTTGTTTCCCTTCCCGCCGGGATCACAGGCTTGCACTGCCTCTTGGTCAATGTCTTAAAAAGTGTTGCTCCATCCTTGTCTGGTTTTCTAGTTGTTTAAAGCAGGAGGGTGAATCTGTTCCCTGATATACCATTGTGGTGTAAGTGATTGTCTGCCTTTACTTTTAAATTAGAATTCCAAGGGTCTATGTATTTTTTTTTTTTTTAGAGAAAATTGATTATATTTATTGTTTCTAGAAGCGAGCATGTTTTAAAGATTTTATCTCCCTGTTTTAGAGAGTGAGAATTTCACTTCTCTTATTTTAAATGCAGAATGTTACTTTGGATCACCTCTGTGTATAACTGCTAGGCTTTTACCAGATGGCATTATAAACCCTTGGCATTTACATAATATATTTTTTCACAGTTCACAGCAGCATATTAAAGGTTCTGAGAAACCTGACAGAGGAACTCATTTATTTGCTTAATCCAGCTCTTTACAAGTTCATTTGACTATGGAATCCTCTTGTCCTCTGTACCTATTAACATCGTACAGTATGCTTTGAAAATAGTCCTAAGAGTTAACCTTTTTTCCCCCATGGTCTTCTTTACCATTTTAATGGTTGCATAGTGCAGTTTTACATTAAGAGTATGAACTATAGAATCACTTTCTAATTGGAATTTTTTTTTTTTTTTTTTTTGAGATGAAGTCTCGCTCTTGTCCCCCAGGCTGAAGTGCAATGGTGCATTCTCGGCTCACTGCAACCTCCACCTCCCAGGTTCAAGCGATTCTCCTGCCTCAGCCTCCCAAGTAGCTGGGATTACAGGTGCCTGCCACCATGCCCAGCTAATTTTTGTTATTTTTAGTAGAGATGGCATTTCACCATGTTGGCCAGGCTGGTCTCGAACTCCTGATCTCAGGTGATCCACCCGCCTCAGCTTCCCAAAGTGCTGGGATTGCAGGCGTGAGCCACCATGGCCGGCCCTAATTGGGATTTTTAAGCTACTCCAACATTCCCACTATTGAGTACTATAGCAATGTTCAATTAATACATGTAGCCTTTTCTGTATATCAGACTATTACTATGTTAGTATTGTATATTATAGTAAAATATAGTAATATATCATCTATATGTTAAATTATATCTATAATCTTACTATAGATTTCTATAGGTGGGATTATTGGGCCAAAAGGATAAAATGTTTTATGGCTGTTAATATGTATTACCTAATTGATGTTTTAAAGAAGTCTTTTAATTTTTTATCACTGATAATACAAGACTATCAGATTTGGGTACACCAGTATTATTTTTGGTTGCTTTATTAAGGGGAAAGAAAGTGTGTCATTGTTGATAACATCAGTTATTTGATGGATAGAGAAGCTGCATGAATCTTTTTCTCATAGTCTTACTAGACTTCACACTTCTGCTAAACTTTTCAAATAAGTTAATGGTTCTCAATGTAGTAGAATATCTGGGATTGAGACCACATACTTTTGGTAGCAATTTATTACTTTTATTTCCTTTGTCAATTTTGAACTTTTTTGAAGTGTACCTTTCTTTTTTTAAGTTAGAACTTTGCCTATTATAACTCCTTACCTCCATTTTTTAACAGTGTGACTATGAAAATGTTCCAACCACTGTATTTACTCCTTTGGAATATGGTGCTTGTGGCCTTTCTGAGGAGAAAGCTGTGGAGAAGTTTGGGGAAGAAAATATTGAGGTGAGTTGTTTTCCTCTTTTCTCCTATGTTATATCACTACTTTTTTTTCTTCAGAATTTTAACATATACAGAAGAGTTGAAAAATAGTACAAAGAATTTTCATATACCCATTATCCAGATTCATATATTACTAACATTGTGCCAATTTATTTTATACACTTTTAGTAGTTTCTCATTCTCTGTGTGTGTGTGTTTCTGTGAATCATTTGAGAGTAAGCTGAATGCTCCTTTACCCCTAAATACTTTATTGTGTATTTCTGTGAATAAGGGCATTTTCTTATGTAACCATAGTGTTACTTTTAGGAAATTTAGTATTGGTGTAATAATTTTTATCTGATTTAACTTTCATTTTCTAATTCTGTCAGTTGGCCCAATCATATTTCCTTTTAATTTTTAAAATCACATTTATTGATTTCTCATGATTAATTATAGGAAAATGAAAAGAAAAAATAAAAACTAACATTTCCACTGCTCTGACCATTAGTACTATTTGTTTCTAGCATTACCCTCTAATTTGTACTAACTTTTCTGCTCACGTTTTATCATGGAGTCAAGGAAAATGCACGTGAAATACACTATTTCTATATACACAAATAATGCCACCCAGAAGAACTGCTATTTTAAATCATTTTGGGGACAATTTCCAATAAAACCTTCTGAAAGACCAGGTTTGTGAATAAGTCCATTTTTTTTTATATAAAAGCCTATTTTAAATCTCTTAATCTTTATTACATGCATTGGTAGTAGCATGTAATATGTTGGTCTATTAGTAACACAATATTAACATTTTTTTCTGATTATAAGAATAGTATATCTGAGGCCAGGCGCGGTGGCTCACGCCTGTAATCCTAGCACTTTGGGAGGCCAAGGCAGGCAGATCACAAGGTCAGGAGATTCAGACCATCCTGGCTAACAAGGTGAAACCCTGTCTCTACTAAAAATACAAAAAGAAATTAGCCAGGCCTGGTGGCGCGCACCTGTAGTCCCAGCTACTCGGGAGGCTGAGTCTGGAGAATAGCACGAACCCAGGAGGTGGAGTTTGCAGTGAGCCGAGATCGCGTCACTGCACTCCAGCCTGGGCGATAGAGTGAGAAAGACCCTGTCTCCAAAAAAAAAAAAAGTGTATCTGGCTGGGCATGGTGGCTCACGCCTGTAATCCCAGCACTTTGGGAGGCCGAGGTGGGTGGATCACCTGAGGCCGGGATTTCGAGACCAGCCTGACCAACATGGAGAAACCCCATCGCTACTAAAAATACAAAATTAGCCAGGTGTGGTGTTACATGCCTGTAATCCCAGCTACTTGGGAAGCTGAGGCAGGAGAATCGCTTGAACCCGAGAGGCAGAGGTTGTGGTGAGTCAAGATTGGGCCATTGCACTCCAGCCTGGGCAACAAGAACAAAACTCCGTCTCAAAAAAAAAAAAAAAAGAAGTTTTGAAATTAGGAAAATATCAAAAAGGAAATTTTAATTCATGAAGAGATAACTGCTATTAATATATTTGTGTATTTCCTTCCAGTTTCTTTTTCTCTTAATATTTTGATGCGTTTTTAATATTTTATGTATGTATATATGTATATGTGATTTTTGTGTGGGTATGTATGTCTTAATTTTTTTCAAAGTTTGATGAAGTTACAGTTTTAGGTCCAAGTTTAATGGTAATGTTATGTCATGAACATTTCCTATCTTTAATTCTCTAAAATCTCCATTTTTTAAAAAAAGGGGAATTCTTCTTTTAAGGGGTGCTATAATTTGTTAAGCCATTCTTTGATTAGGTTATTTACAGTTTTTCATTATTATAAATAGAATCACAAACATCTTTATAATTCATTGTTTCTCAGATTATTTTTTGAAGATAGATTTCCTATATGAGTGTGTATATACATGACATACATATATAATTAAAATTGGAAATTTTTCATATATATTTCATATTTCTTGATAGACAATATTTAAGTTTTTTAATTTGCTTTTTTGTTATAGAAGTATAATGTGTTTGAGTTGAAGAAACTTTGAAAAATGTAAGGGAAAGAGGAAACAATTACTCATGGACTTATATCTGTAACACAGCAATTGTTAGCAATTGGGGGATGATTCCTTTAATTTTTTCCTACATAATTGTGATACTGTGATACTGTACATTAAATTTTGTAACCCATGTTTATTTTTAAAATTATATAATTTATCACAACATGGAAGAACACTTCTTATGTCTTCGTAGTCAATTTGGTCATAAAAGGTAGCGAATCATGTTTTGAACTGAGGCTAGCAGCTGGAGGAGAAAAAAAATCCATTTAGTCAACCAGGAATTACATCAGTAAGGATGCTGTCCTTCCAACCTTCTTTCCTCCCCGCCTTCCTCCTTCCTTCATTCCTTCCCTGTCTCCTTCCTTCACTGCTTTTAGTGAATAATGCCAAAGGAGGAAATGCCTTTTGGAAGCATTTAGCAAGAGAACTAGATAATTACCATAATTGATCCTGGCACCTTACTTGTTTTTTGCCCAAGTTGTCATTCACATTGGGTAACAAGATAGTATTGAGGTCTGTATATGTGTGTGTTTTCAGTGTAAGACAGCAGGTAATTAAATGGCTTATTTCTGTCATTCTCTCATTCTTTTTTGTTATTAGTTAGGGTGTACTCTTTTGAGGTTGAGATACATAATTAAAGGCTGAGTTTATAGCAAAAGTGCTTGACAGCAAGGAGTTTAAAGTCATTTACCTTTTGACCAGATTCCTATTCCATGAATTTTATTAATGAAAGTCTACTTACTAAAGAGTCTCCACTGTCTTGCACCATGTATGTTTGAGAGACTTACTGTTTAAAATAATGGGTCTAAATTTTGCTATTGTATCTTTTTAGGTTTACCATAGTTACTTTTGGCCATTGGAATGGACGATTCCATCAAGAGATAACAACAAATGTTATGCAAAAATAATCTGTAATACTAAAGACAATGTAAGTGCAATTCTCAATCCTTTCCAATTATTTTATTTAGTTTTTCTTTTTTTTTAAGATGGAGTCTTGCTCTGTCACCCAGTCTGGAGTGCAATGGCGCTGTCTTGGCTCACTGTAATCTCTGCCTCTCAGGTTCAAGCGATTCCCCTGCCTCAGCCTCCCGACTAACTAGGATTACAGACTCGCACCACCACACCGGCTAATTTTTGTATTTTTTTAGTAGAGACAGGGTTTCACCATGTTGGCCAGGCTGGTCTTGAACACTTGACCTTGTAATCCACCTGCCTCGGCCTTCCAAAGTGCTGGAATTACACGTGTGAGCCACCGCACCCAGCTTTAGTTTTTAATATATAGCTTAGTTGGTCACATGGTGCAGATGGCATTCCTTCAGTATTTCGCCTGCCAGTTGTCTCAGGTAATAGGTATCAGCAGCCGGCAAGGACCTTGGCTGTACTGCCTGCTCCCTCATCATCTTCACTGGCACAGAGCCCTGCACTTAGTCAACAGGCAGCCAAAACTTACTGAGTGAAGGAACCAAAGGCACAACTTGAGAACTGTCTGTGTTTGTGTTTATAGAAGAGGAACAATAAAGTCATAGACTATCTAAATATAATTAATAACAAAAAAGAACAGGAGCAACGCACATTTGATCCTCAGCAGCTGGCACTACTGAGAAAGAGCCCTTAATTGAGTTCTAAGATTTGATTGCCTGCTGCTACATGTAACACATAGTCTGGTGTTCTTACATGTAAATCTAAGGTATTTTAAGTGCTTCTTAGTAGTTCTTCCCACAGATATACTTTATTCATACCATAAACCCCCAATTGTCAGGGTGAATATGTGTAAGAGTACAATATGCAATACATTACAGTACTTCTTTTTTTTTTTTTTGAGACGGAGTCTCACTCTGTTGCCTGGGCTGGACTGCAGTGGTGGGATCTCGGTTCGCTGCAACCTCTGCCTCCCAGGTTCAAGCGATTCTCCTGCCTCAGCCTCACAAGTAGCTGGGATTACAGGCACCCACCACCACGCCCAGTTATTTTGTATTTTTAGTAGAGATGGGGTTTCACCATGTTGGCCAGGCTGGTCTCAGTCTCCTGACCTCAGGTGATCTGCCTGCCTTGGTCTCTCAAAGTGCTGGGATTATAGGCATGAGCCACTGTGCCCGGCCTATTACAGTACTTTTTTTAGCAGACACCTGTGAAAGCCTGTGAGCAAACTCTATACCTCACAGGGTTTTTTTCCATATGTATGAAATGAGGGATTGGATAATTCCTATTTTTATTTTTATTTTTTATTTTTTATTTTTTGAGACGGAGTTCGTCTGAGACTGGAGTGCAGTGCCGATCTCAGCTCACTGCAAGCTCCCTCCCGGTTCACCATTCTCCTGCTCACCCAGTAGTGGACTACAGCGCCCCCTCGCCGCTAGTTTTTTGTTTTTTAGTAGAGACGGGTTTCACGGGTTGCGGATGGTTCGATCTCTGATTGTGATCTGCGTTCGGTCCAAGTGCTGGATTACAGTTGAGCACCGGCGTATTCTATTTTTAAAGTTTTTTGACTGCTGCCACACATTGTAACCTGGGACATAGGTATGCATATACACACATTCTCTTTAAGTAGTGTATTGACTCTTAAGAAAACTGATCTTTTTAACTTAGCTGACACTTTTTAAAGAAATGACCTCAGTAAAAGTATAAATGATGTTAAAGAACCTATATGTTAAAAGCCTAGTAAACTCTGATATTGTTTTAATCTTGAAATTTGAATATAATTAAGCCATGTATCCTATTTGGAAACTACTGCTTTAGGCAGTAGGACAGTTACAGGTTGGTTTTTTGGTAGAACCAAGGGTTTTAGAAAAATTCCTGAATCCTCTGCAAAAAAGATTCAAATGAATATACTAGGATAACCCATAAAGAGCTACATAGCTAACATAAAAAACAATTGTATATATAGTTTTCTTTTTCTTCTCTTTGTTTTTTTATTTGAGATGGAGTCTCATTATGTTGCCAGGCTGGAGTGCTGTGGCGCGATCTTGGCTCATTGCAACCTCTGACTCCCTGGGTCAAGCGATTCTCCTGCCTCAGCCTCCTGAGTAGCTGGGATTACAGGCACGCACCACCACGCCCAGCTAATTTTTGTATTTTTGTTTTTTGGTAGAGACAGAGTTTCACCATGTTGGCCAAGGTGGTCTTGATATCCTGACCTCGTGATCCTCATGCCTCGGCCTCCCAAAGGGCTGGGATGACAGGCGTGAGCCACCGTGCCTGGCAGTTTTCTTTTCCTTTTCAGGCAAATTTTCTTAAAAGTTTATATGAGTATACATTAGATATCACTTTTACTGCAGACAAAAGGAGAAAATGTCAGCCGTTCTCATCTGCAGTATATTAACTGCCCCTGTCTCACTGAGACTTCAGTTGCTCATAGCAGTCAGTGAAACCTTGAAGGTCTCCTTCCTACCAAGTAAATCCATTTTAATCATATGCATTTTGCTCTTTTTCCAATGTTACATTTGTTCAAATGGCATTGCTAGAATAATGTGGAAAATAATTTTCCTACCAATAAACCTGTCAGTAGTTGAGGTTATAAGGAGGGTGACAGTGTTTTAGGTTATTTTCATAGATAAAGATAGTAATAGAGAAGATGAGTATTTGTTACTGCTCTTTTGTCATGACCAATCTGAGGGGAAAGCTTGTAGAACTTGACTATCCCTGGGGCGTGCTTTATTCATTTTGAGTCAGTCACTTGACTTCAGCGTCTAAATGTCCTTGACTCTAAATCGTACAAATGTTTATTAACTGCTGGCTTTTGTTCTCTGCTATTTTTTTTTTTTTAACATAAAACATTTATAATAAAGATGAAGAAGGTACTCACCATCCAAAGTCAAGAAACATTAACATTTTTGCTGTATTTGTTTCAGGGCTTTTTTCTTACAAGAGATAAACCATCATATACGCAGTTTATAACAGCTTGTATTTATTGAGCACTTACTATATACCAGGCACTATAGAGCTCTACAGGTATTAATTTATTTAATCCTTACATAATCCTGTGAGGTATATGTGCTGTTGTTTTCCCATTTTTATGGATGAGGAAACTGAAGCGTTTGGAAGTTAAATAATTGTGCTCAAATCGTTTACCTAGGTAAGGGCAGATCTGTACATTTATTCTCACACAATGTATATACCATGCTATTAACTATTATCTTATTCCTGTGCAGTCTTCTGTCTTCCTTCACTTCAAAAGGTAAAACTTTTGAAGTTGTAGGGTCTCATGCTTATGTTCTTATGTTTGCCACCTATTTATGAATGCATAAACAAACATACAGTGTTCGTAGTTTAATTGCAGGTGGCATCCTCATTATGTAGAGCTCTGCAACTTTTTAATAATCGCATTATTTTTTGAGACCCTTTCCACATTATTACATGGAAATCTATTTTAAGTGCTTTTTAGTAGTTCCTCCTGCAGATACACTTTATTCATACCATAAACCCTGAATTGTCAGGGTGAATATGTGTAAGAGTACAATATGCCATATATTACAGTCCTTTGTCAGCAGAACAACCTCCTGATTGTTTCCAGGGAGTGATGGAACCTTAGACAAGCTCTGTACCCCACAGCCTGAGTTGCCTCATCTGTTATGACGAGATTAGACTAGATAGTCTAGTCTGAGTCGGTGCTGAAAATCTGTCAGCTTGACAGTAGAGTGCCTCAGATTTCTCTGCTTTTGGCAGAGGCAGCCAGAGTTTGACATTTCTAATTTATCCAAAATAATTTCTACACAGGTATTTTAGAGTGCCAGACATTTTTCTTTTGCTTTTAAAAATGTTTTCAGACTTTGCCGGGCACCGTGGCTCACGCCTATAATCCCAGCACTTTGGGAGGCTGAGGTGGGTGAACTGCTTAAGCTTACAACTTCAGGACCAGCCTAGGCAGCATGGCGAAACCCCATCTCTATCAAAAACAAAACAAAAAATGTTTTCAGACTTCAATGATCTTGTGCTATTTATTTATCCTCAAAACCTTATTTTAAATTACTTTTAAATTTTTATTTTTATTTTATTTTTTAGAGGCAGAGTCTTTGTCACCCACGATGGAGTACAGTGGTGTGATCATAGCTCACTGCTGCCTCCACCTCCTGGGCTCAAGCATTTCTCCCACCTCAGCCTCCCAAGTATCTGGGACTACAGACATGAGCCACCGTGCCCAGCTAATTTTTATTTATTATTATTATTTTTTTGTACGGACAGAGTCTCCCTATGTTGCCAGGCTGGTCTTGAATGCCTGGCCTCAGGTGATTCTCCTGCCTCAGCCTCCCAAAGTGCTGGGATCACAGGCTTGAGCTATGCTGCCCAGTCAAAATGACTTTTTAATTTGATTGACTACTCTCAAGGGTCCCAGCTATTACAGATAGTGTCTGTGGAGCTGAGATAATCAAATACAGGACGTGAGGACACCCTGCCCCTTTGGTAATATTTTCCAGAACATTTTGGTGATTAAAGACCTGTAGGCATCTTTGCCTTTTGTATTTTTTCTCATAAAATGAGTAATCACTTGTAGCTGTTTCTTGTCCCTTCATTCCTGCCTGAAGTGAACATCATACTCTCTGTTTTGGTTCATGTTGGGGAGTCTTTAGGCTAAATAGCGGCTAGTAGCAGTCATTAAAGTCTCTGGCCGTTTTTCCAGTTGCGGTGGCTCACACCTGTAATCCCAGCACTTTGGGAGGCCGAGGGGAGTGGATCACCTGAGATCAGGCGCTCGAGACCAGCATGGCCAACATGGCAAAACCCACCTCTACTAAAAATACAAAAAAATTAGGCAGGCGTGGTGGTGTGTGCCTATAGGGTCCCAGCTGAGGCTGAGGCAGGAGAATCGCTTGAATCCAGGAGGCGGAGGTTGCAGTGAGCGGAGATCACACCATTGCCATTGCACTCCTGCCTGGGCAACAAGAGCGATACTCCATCTCAAAAAAAAAAAGTCTCTGCTCATTTTTGAGTTGCATTTTTAAGAAATAGACTGGAGAAATGCTCTAAGGCTGTGTAGGAAGAGAAGGGGAGAAAAATCAGCTTAGCTGGATTATTGTTGTTTTTTTTTTTACCTTAGGAACGTGTTGTGGGCTTTCACGTACTGGGTCCAAATGCTGGAGAAGTTACACAAGGCTTCGCAGCTGCACTCAAATGTGGACTGACCAAAAAGCAGCTGGACAGCACAATTGGAATCCACCCTGTCTGTGCAGAGGTGGGTCATCTATACTTCTACAGTTTAAAAAATGCATACCACCCAGCTTATACGTGGCAGATCTAGGACCCTGAGTTTGATAATGATTCCTCAAAAGAGGGCCTTGTCTCTAAAAATTAGTTTTCATCTTTCAATATTGATTGCTCATGGTATGAGCTGGAGGCTTCTGTCATGTCATTAAGTGGTAAAAATTATGAGAGTGAGTTATAGAGCTGTGCCTTAAATATTTTATTTATCATATCTTCTAAATTATTTTCATGGCAATCAGTTAATAATGGAAGAGCTTCAATCTTAGTTATTCCACAGCTATCTTGAGGCTAATTGATACTGTCTGCCTCTTCAGCTTACAGTATCAGGGAATGAGATTTGAAAATGATGCTTTCCAAAGATCAAATGACAGTAGAACTAGAAATTGACCAATCTAGGCCTCTGGGTGTCAGTGTTTCTTCCCTGCCAGTTATCATCCAAGAGTTAAATATTGTAATACCTAACTGCATAGGAATGGTAAGCCAAAAATGTGTTTATATTGGAGAACTTGGGAAGATGTGGGAGGAGGCATGTCATACTATACCAGCTTATATATGAAGTTGAAAATTGCAGTGATTATCTGTTGTAGCCAGTGGCTTCCAGGGTGTACATTGCACTTGCAAACACGCATGCACACGCACGCACACACGCACGCACACACGCATGCACGTTCTTGCCAGATTTCATTCAGCAGCTCCATGACTGGTTGTTCTCTCTGTTCATGATTGCCTTTGTACGACTGAACTCATTGCTAAGTATGTGGAATGTCAGCTTTAAGACCTGGAAAAACGTTTTAGCTTTCTTTTGCTTTGTCTTCTCTGTGATCAAGAATCCTCCTCTATTAATAGGCACCTGGCTGGGATATAAGCCTAAAATATTAACATGTTGAGAGATTAGAGCATCATTTATTTCTTTCATTTATAGAAAGCTTCTGTTTTTGTGATGGAAATAGAATTAAGCTTCAAAAAATATAAAAACTGAAGTCTTGATTAATGCCCTTAATGTGTGATAGATCTTTTATTTAGTGTAATGACTCAAACTGCCTGTGTTGGGAAGGAGCCAATTAACTTTGCTTTCTTGAGTACATTAGTTTCCCAGGGCTACTGTTACAAAGTACCACAAACTGGGTGGCTTAAAAATAGCAGACATTTTCTCTCTCTCAGTTCTGGAGGCTAGAAGTCCAAACTCAAGGTGTCAGCAGGGCCAAGCTCCCTCCAAAGGCACTAGGGAAGAATCCTCCCTTGCCTCTTCCTTTGCCTTCTGGTAGCAATGGCAATCCTTGGCGTTCCTTAGCTTGCAGATGTATCACTTTAATCTCTGCCTCTCTCTTCACATAGCCTTATCCCCTGTGTGTCTGTGTCCAAATTTCCCTCCTCTTTCTTATAAAGAAACTCCAGTCATTGGATTGGGGTCCACTCTAATCCAACATGATCTCATTTTCACTTGATTACATCTGCAAAGGCCCTATTTCCAGATTCACAAATACTGGGGGTTAGGACTTGATCATGCCTTTTGGGGCTATGGGGACACAATTCAACCTACAATAGTGAGTATATTTAAAAATGTAGATGCTGTTTCAAAATACTCACAAGCTTCAATAACCATTTTTGATAGGGATGAAAGAAAAGACAATTTTATTGTCTTTTGTATATGAGTGTCTAATTTTTTGTCTGAATTCAGCTCTCAGTGGGCTTGTTGAAAGAAAGATTGCTGTGTGCTGGCCTCTGACCCCCTCAGGAGGCTGTTGTGCTGCAATCCAGCAGCAGCGTGCACAGCAGCATCTGGCAGGGTGACTGCCAGCTGGGCAGAAGGATGCAGTGAGGATGCAGGACGTCTCCTAAAGCCCATGGCTGTGGGGAGGTCAGCCAAAGGCCTGTTCTCCTTAGTATGCCTGGCACATTTGGGGCTGTGCATCTCCATCTGTTGGTCCTCTTATGTTGTTGAAGCTCAGAGGCTGAATTTTCTGATGCTTTGATAGGACTCTGATATTTTTGTTTTCCCCAAGCTATTGACTGATTAACAAGATAAAAAATTGGGTGAAATCGCACTCTGTGAACACACTTGTCAAGCTGTGTGCACAGTGCCGTGCTGGACACTGGGGATGCAGCAGGGATTTGGCTAAGCTAGGAGGAGAGGAGACAGCTGGGTGATGTGCCAGTTAACAGTTCCGTCTGACGGATCCTAGGATCAGGGTAGATCTAAAGTGCTGGAGGCACCGGGGTGCCACCTTTGTGGTCTTTGGCTCAGGGATTCTTGTGATTTGTTTTTTTTACTCACAGAGCGCTTCTGACCCCAGATGTGTGGGGGTTTTGCTCACACGAACAACCAGTTCTCCAGCTTTCTAGACACCAGCTGGGTGACCTATAACATAACTCAATTCTGATACCAGCCGCCTGGAGTTAGCATCAGATCCTACAAGGGCTCATTCCCATAAGACTGCCACCACTGCAGAGGCCAGTGTCAAGCCCAGGACTCCTATACTTCTGACCTACCAGCTATAAAGTCAAGGGGTTCCCACGATAAATTGCTAGCATGGCTCACAGAACTCAGGAATAAACTTTACTTATATTTACTTGTTTATTATAAAGGTTGCAACTCAGGAACAGGCAATTGGAAGAGATACACAGGGCAAGATGGTTGTGGGGAGGCAGGGGACAACAGAGCTTCCATGTCCTCTCTAGGTGTGGCTCCTTCCCAGCACCTCGATATTCACCAACCTGGAAGTTCTCCAAACCCCTCATTTAGGTATTTCTAGAGGTCCCATTATGTAGGCATGATTGATTAATCATTGACCATTGGTAAGTACCCAATCTCCTGCTCCTTCCCCATATGTAGAGGACCAGAACTGGGGCTAAAAATTCTACCTCTGATGACATGGTTGGTTCCTCTGGCAACCAGCCGCCATCTTGAAGCTATCTAGGGCCCCACCAAGAGTCACATCATTAGCATAAGCTCAGGTGTGGTTGAAAGGGGCTCATTATGAATAGCAAAAAATGCTCATCTCACTAGTGTCACTCAGGAAATTCCTGGGTTTTTGAAGCTCCCATGCCAGGAATCAGGGACAGGATGGAAGAGCAAATATGTATTTCTCATCATTTCACAATATCACAGGATGTTGGGGCAGGATGATTCTGGAGGGAGTTCTTACCTAAGACTAGAAGAATGTGTGGACGTTAGCTAGTGAGAGAACACTGTACAAAAGGCCTGGGTGGGAAAAAGGATGGCTCATTCAAGGAACTGAAGAAGACTCTCAATATTGCCATAGCTTAAAGAACTTAGAGAGTTAAAAAGTGTGTGTGTGTGTGTGTATATATATTTATTTATTTTATATATATATATATATGCGCTAGAGAAACAGCTGGGTAAGTGATGGTCTTGTAAACTAAGGAAGGGTATTTTGACTGCCTTTGGGGCATTGTGATTCAGCCAAAAGGTCTAAAGCAGGGAGTAACATGGTCAGGTACATTGTTCAGAAACATTCCTCCAGCTACACCATGGAAGCTGGACTGAGCGGGCAAGTGGAGTGGCAGATCCAGTTATGTGGCTGGTGAGGTAGATGAGAGGAGATGATAGTGGCCGGAGGCGTGGCAGTGGAAATGGAGTGACACTGTTGTATTTGAGGGTAGAGTTGATAGTACTTGCCAACTGGCTGGGAATGGGAAGAGGGAGAGCTGAAGACCACTCAGGTTTGTGTCCTGCAACAGGAGGTAATAGCAAGAGCAGACTCGTGACAGCGATGATGAGACCACTAATGTGTATGAGGGCCTGCTGTGTGCTGAGTACTGTGTCCCTGCCTGTTGACTAACTTAGTCCTTATGAGCACCCCATGCGGTGGATGGGGTAGTATATCTGTTTGACAGACGAGGAAACCAAGGACGAAGAGGTTGAGTAACTTGCCCATGGTTACCCAGCCTGATCATGGCCGAGCTGGGATTCAAACCCAGGCAGTCCAGACCCCAAAGCACCACGCTGTGCAGGTGATACTGCATCTCCACAGACTGTCCTACCATATTTGGCATATAATTTAAAATGGAACTGATTCTTGGTGGCAGCACAGATGTAGTGGAGACACACAGACCTGGGTTGTAATCTCACTCAGCAAATTCCTCTCAGTGAGACCTGGCCATACCACCCAGGTTTTCAGAAGCTTGGTTTCCACATTAAATAAAATAAGAGTCCAGGCGTGGTGGCTGACTCCTATAATCCCAGCACTTTGGGAGCCTGCGGCAAGTGGATCACTTGAAGCCCAGAGTTTGAGACCAGACTGACCACATAGCGAAACCCCATCTCTACCAAAAATAACGAAAAATTAACTGTGCATGGTGGCATATGCCTATAATCCCAGCTGCGTGGGAGACGTGAGGCACAAGAATCACTTGAACCCAGGAGGCAGAGGTTGTACTGAGCCAAGATCATGCCACTTCTCTCCAGCCTGGGCTACAGCAAGACCCTGTCTCCAAAAAAAAAAAAAAAGAGTAAAATGGCCTGTCTCAGTGGCTCACACCTGTAATCCCAGCACTTTAGGAGGCCAAGGTGGGCAAATCATCTGAGATCAGGAGTTCGAGACCAGCCTGGGCAATACGGCAAAACCTTGTCTCTACTAAAAATACAAAAATGGCCTGGTGCGGTACCTGTATGTACCTGTAGTCCCATCTACTCGGGAGGCTAAGGCATGAGAATTGCTTGAATCTGGGAGGTGGAGGTTGCAGTGAGCCGAGATTACGACACTGCCTTCCAGCCTGGAGCGAGACTGTCTGAAATAAATAAATAAATAAATAAAACAAAATAAGAGAATATCTAACTGTAGGGTTGATTAAAATGCAATCTGTAAAGTGTGTAGGAGAGTTCCTGGCATTTAATAGATGCTGAATAGCTGCACCTGTTAGCTGCTTTTTTCCCCAGGATATTATAGAAGATGTGGCTGCGGCTTGGAAGGGGAAAAGATGTGGCTGGACTGAAAGGTCGTCATAACAGTATTTTTAATGGGGGTTGGAGAGGGATATATATTGTGAAAAAGCTCCAGTGATTTTTTTTTTTTTTTTAAACCCTGGTTATGAACTGCTTGCTTTGATACTGGATTTTGAAAAACCAAAGACTTAAAACTCCTAGTTATGGACATTTTAAAAAATTATTTTTAACTGACACAATAATTGTACATATTTATGGGGTACATAGTGATATTTTGAAACACAGAGTTTATAGTGATCAGATTAGGGTAATTAGCCTATCATCTCAAACACTGACCATTTCTTTGTGTTGAGAACATTCCATATCCTTTCTTCTAGCTATTTGAAAGTATGCATTATTGTTTAACCGTAGTTATCCTAAGATGCTATAGAACATATTCCTTCTATCTGGCTATAATTTTATATCCTTTAACAAATCTCTCCCTATCTTCTTCTCCCAACCCTTCCCAGCCTTTAGTAATCTCTGTTCTTTTTACTTCTGTGAGTAAGTTAGCACAGTCACTGTGGACAACAGTATGGAGGTTCCTCAAAAAACTACAAGTAGAGCTACCATATGATCCAGCAATCCCACTCCTTACTGGGCATTTATCCCAGGGAAGTTTTTTTTTGTTTGTTTGTTTGTTTAAAGCTTCTTGATCTAGGAAGAGTGAAACTTGGTATTAGGGGTTCATAGAAGGAACTCTTTTCTCTGCCAAATGCTGAGTTCTGAGTTGGATAGTAATTGGATTTGCTACTGGACCCACTGTTTTTATCATCCAGACATATCCTGTAGGGAATGCTGTTCAGATGTGGTCCACAGAATGTTTATTAGTCCATAATGAGAGAAGGATAGAAACGAAGAAGAAAGTTTAGAAATTTTAACAATAATTTGACAGTGACTGATCTAATAATAAACATGGTGTTTTAATTTTACATGCCTTTTAAAATTTCATTTCCCCAGTACATTGTCAGTGAATTTCACAAGTGTTAGTCCAGTGGATTAATTAGAAATAATAATAATTTTTAAACCAGTCCTGAGTACTGCTTTAAACTGAGTGCTCAAAAATAGCCACAGCCCCACGGCCAGCTGTGGTAGGCTGGCACAGTGACTTACTTTGGTAAAAATCCTGGGCAGTCGAGAGCAATCTTTGACTCTGAGGAGTAATTACTTATAAAAGTTGACAAATTCCTTAGCAAAGTAATTTCCAAAGGGAATTGCTAGAATTCTGGAATTGCTGTAAGAGGAGAGGCTACTTTTGTTTTGACTGAAGTCCTGTGAGAGGGATTCTTAGCGCCTGGGGTATTAGCAATGCGTTTGCATTATTCAGTGTGAGATGGGGTTGGTGGTCATTTATTCTGAACGCCTGAGCCGCAGTCATTGAGTAGGAAACGGATTACACATAATTTTGAGTAGTAATTTCAACAAATCAAATTCACTTGTAGAGGAGAAAAACAATAGTTCAAGCGGAAAGCATTTGAAAATACTTCTTTGTAATGTCTTAAAATGAATTTTAGTGTCAAATATTAAAAGTTTTGGTGTTTTTTGTTTTCAATTAATAGTCAGTATAATCCTAGTCTAAAGTGAGGGAGCCTTCTGTGGCTAGAAGTGGCGGGGACAGACACGAGTATGTGAGGTGGAAAGCTTCCAGCGGTTCCTGACCCTTGTACGAGTCCTGTATGTTGAGATGGAAGGGCACAGAGGCTGCCCCTTCTGCTCATTTTTAAAAAATACATGCTTTTATAAAAATTCTAAAACAGTTGTGAACGAATGAAATCTGTCAAAGTTGACCTCAGCAGGTTTTTTCATTTATTTGAGACAGGTTCTTGTCACCTAGACTGGAGTGCAGTGGTGTGATAGCTCACTGCAGCCTTGACCTTTCAAGCTCAAGCAATGTTCCTGCCTCAGTCTCCTGAGTAGCTGGGACTACAGGCACATGCCACTGTTCCCAGCTTATATATATATATATTTGAGAGAGACAGGGTTGCATTATGTTGCCCAGACTGGTCTCAAACTCCTGGGCTCAAGCAATCCTCCTGCCTTGGCCTCCCAAAGTGCTGGGATTGCAGGCGTGAGCCACGGTGCTTGGCCAGTTTTTTATTTAGACTGATCATTGATGGCAGTTTGGCTTCCTCTATATTTTTAACATAAGAACAACATCAGTATAAGAAAAAGCAGAGCCGGGCGCGGTGGCTCAAGCCTGTAATCCCAGCACTTTGGGAGGCCGAGACGGGCGGATCACGAGGTCAGGAGATCGAGACCATCCTGGCTAACACGGTGAAACCCCGTCTCTACTAAAAAATACAAAAAACTAGCTGGGCAAGGTGGCGGGCGCTTGTAGTCCCAGCTGCTCGGGAGGCTGAGGCAGGAGAATGGCGTAAACCCAGGAGGCGGAGCTTGCAGTGAGCTGAGGTCCGGCCACTGCACTCCAGCCTGGGCTACAGAGCGAGACTCCGTCTCAAAAAAAAAGAAAGATAAGAGCTCATTTTGGTGGATTTAGTTTTGTATCCAAATCTCCTACAAGTCCTATTTCTAAATCAGTTTCTGAGAAATGGAACCCAGGCTTGCAAATTGATAAGCCTGGAATTTGTTTAAATGTCTTCTTTGGCTCTCTATTCTTTTCCTCATTTTAAAAATGGAAAAGAAAGCACATTTGAATCGCCCTTAATACCCCTTTCTAACACAGCTATTTTTATGATCATGTATTGTTTCCCCGTCCTCATCTGTACTCATACATTTTTTTTAAACAAAATAATTCTATTGCTTTTCCTAAGAAGTTGTACTAGTTTACAGTGTCACCAGCATTGCATATAAGAGTGCTAATTAAAATGTTGCAAAATTCAGTGTCAATGTTTTTTCTATAATGAGTGTGAAAAGGATAACTATTGGCCCAGCACAGTGGCTGATGCCTGTAATCTCAGCACTTTGGGAGGCCGAGGCGGGTGGATCACCTGAGGTCAGGAGTTTGAGACCAGCCTGGTCAACTTGGTGAAACCCTGTCTCTACTAAAAATCCAAAAATTATCCGGGCATGGTGGCAGGCACCTGTAATCTCAGCTACTCGAGACTGAGGCAGGAGAATTGCTTGGACCTGGGAGGCAGAGGTTGCAGTGAGCCAAGATTGTGCCACTGCACTCCAGCCTGGGTGACAGAGTGAGACTCTGCCTCCAAAAAAAAAAAAGGATAATTATTTCAAGGATTTTAGCACATCTTTGCTAACAACGATGAGCCTCTTTCTTTTTATAATGATTGTTTTTTGGGGGGGGTATGAATTATCCATATTTTCTGATGCATTTGTATTATAAAACTTTTTAAGATACTGGCCATTAGTATTTGGTCTGGATTTTTTTGAGAAGTAAAGGCTTTGTCACCCTCTGAAGCTAAAACAGACAAGATTTTTTTCAGTATTGTTCCTCCCTTACACAAAATTGTCTTCACCCTTATTCACAAGTATTTTTGTTTTTATGTACAGGCAATCTTGAGCAGTAACAAGTAAAAATTGTCCAAAACTGTCAAGTCACACAAATGTTTGCAAGGATATGAAACAAGGAGAACTTGTTAGTCACTGCAAATGAGAGTATAGGTTGGTTCAGGTACCTTGAAAATCTAGTCAAGCCAAAGTTTCACCTGCCCTCTGATCCAGCAGTTTTACTTCAGCTCTGTGTGCAAGGAGATGCGCTGGAATGTCACAGCATTGTATTGCAAAGAGCACATTGGCAACAGCTTGGATGGCCAGCAGAAGGAGCCCGAATGTGTGATTTATATTCACTAGTTGAATAATTAAATACTACAATATACACTATATATACTAGACTGTATGTGTTGTTCTATACTGTAGTGATTGAATCGAACTCTATTCAGTGAAAAAATGGAAGAATTAGCTATTTGTATCCATATGGGATACAAAAAAGCAGGGTAACAGAGGAATGTACATCATCTTGCCATTTGCAGGTAAAGCTTCTTAAAAAAACACAAGAGAGGCCGGGCGCGGTGGCTCAAGCCTGTAATCCCAGCACTCTGGGAGGCCGAGGCGGGCGGATCACGAGGTCAGGAGATCGAGACCATCCTGGCTAACACGGTGAAACCCCGTCTCTACTAAAAAAAATACAAAAAACTAGCCGGGCAAGGTGGCGGGCGCCTGTAGTCCCAGCTATTCGGGAGGCTGAGGCAGGAGAATGGCGTAAACCCGGGAGGCAGAGCTTGCAGTGAGCTGAGATCCGGCCACTGCACTCCAGCCCGGGCGACAGAGCGAGACTCCGTCTCAAAAAAAAAAAAAAAAAAAAAAAAACACACACAAGAGAATGCAGGAAGAAATGCCTAGGAATGATAAGCACCAACTCGGTGGAGGGAAAGGAGGAAAAGGCCATCAGGGTGGCACACATGGGGCTCTAACTGGGCACTTTATACCCTTCTTTATATCCAAAATATTCTATGGTGAATTTCTTTTAGAGGGTTGACAAGCAACTGGGGGTACCTGATTTGTTTTAATCATCCCCATGCTAACAAAATTCTTTAATAGATATAACCTAAATTGTTTTTCTCTTTCACCTTGGTTTTAAAATGTCTTCCCCTTTTTATTCTCTGGAGAAATAGAAAATATCCTTGATCATACTACTTCTCTGTTTTATTCATTTTGGTAGTCCCCTAAGACAGTTTTAATGCGTATGGCGTTATCTGAACTGTTCCCTGTTACCTCATTTGCTCAGGCATCTGAAGATGTTGTGCTTTCTCTTCCCCTGCAGGTATTCACAACATTGTCTGTGACCAAGCGCTCTGGGGCAAGCATCCTCCAGGCTGGCTGCTGAGGTTAAGCCCCAGTGTGGATGCTGTTGCCAAGACTCCAAACCACTGACTCGTTTCCGTGCCCAAATCCAAGGCGAAGTTTTCTAGAGGGTTCTTGGGCTCTCGGCACCCGCATGTCCCGTGCTTACCACCGCCCAAGGCCCCCTTGGATCTTTTGGATAGGAGTTGGTGAATAGAAGGCAGGCAGCATCACACTGGGGTCACTGACAGACTTGAAGCTGACATTTGGCAGGGCATCAAAGGGATGCATCCATGAAGTCACCAGTCTCAAGCCCATGGGGTAGGCGGTGATGGAACAACTGTCAAATCAGTTTTAGCATGACTTTTCCTTGTGGATTTTCTTATTCTCGTCAAGTTTTCTAATGTTGATTTTTTTTCTTTTTTCTCCATGGTGTTAATGATATTAGAGATGAAAAACGTTAGCAGTTGATTTTTGTCCAAAAGTAAGTCATGGCTAGAGTATCCATACAAGGTGTCTTGTTGCATGGAAGAGGGATAGTTTGGCTCCCTTGGAGGCTTTGTAGGCTTGTCCCAGGAAAGAGAACTGTCCTGCTGCTGAAATGGACTGTTCTTTACTGACCTGCTCAGCAGTTTCTTCTCTCATATATGCCCAAAACAACTACATCTGCGATCGACTCTAGCCAAGTTTGCCTCTGTGTGCTATATCACGGATGATTATTATTTTAAGGTCTGTTTAGGAAGAGAAATGGCTACCTGGCCAGCCATTGCCTGGCATTTGGTAGTACAGTATGATTCTCACTATTATTTGTCATGGAGGCAGACATACACCAGAAATGGGGGAGAAACAGTACATATCTTTCTGTCTGTAGTTTATTGTGTGTTGGTCTAAGCAAGCTGAGATCATTTGCAATGGAAAACACGTAACTTGTTTAAAAGTTTTTACCTTTAACTTTTTTTTACCTTTAAGTTTTACCTAAAACTTTAAAGTTTTTAGCTTTACCTTTTATGCTAAAAACACAACATATAATGGTGTTAGGTATCTATTCCTTTCTAAGACTACATTAGTAGGAAAATAAGTCTTTTCATGCTTATGATTTAAATCTTTTGTGGTAATTGCTTTTTAAAGGAAGTTATTAATATCATAAGTTATTATTATTATTTTGAACACAGGTGGATGTGAAGGATTTTCATTTAAAAACCAAGTGGTTTTGACTTTTTCTGTTGAATGAACAACTGTGCCTTGTGGAATTTTTGCAGAAGTGTTTATGCTTTGTTAGCATTCCAACTTGCGTTATTATAAAGAGGTATTAATGCCTCAGTTATGTGTTTGTCAATATACTGGCTGAGGATTCTATTTCAGCTGTCTTTTCTAACTGTAAGTTGAGTTTTGAACACGTGCTGTGGACATCAGACCTCCTGCCAGCAGTTCTTGAAGCTCCTTTTTCATTCCTGCTCCTCTGTCTACTTGTATTTCTCAGTTACAGCACTGAGTGGTTGTTTCCAAGTACATTTCTGGGCCACCTCAGGGAACCCGTGCATCTGCCTGGCATTTAGGCAGCAGAGCCCCTGACCGTCCCCCCAGGGCTCTGCCTCACGTCCTCATCTCATCTGGCTCTACGAAGAAATAGGAAATGGGAAAAGGAGAGGGCAATTGAGGCAGTTGACCATATTCAGATTTATTTATTTATTTTTAATTTGTTTTTTTCCTCCAAGTCCACCAGTCTGAAATTAGCACAGTAGGCAGTATGAGATAGTCAGGCCTAATCATGTTGTGATTCTCTTTTCTTAGTGGAGTGGAATGTTCTATCCCCACAAGAAGGATTATATCTTATAGACTTGTCTTGTTCAGATTCTGTATTTACCCATTTTGTTGAAATATATACTAAGTTCCATGTATTTTTGTTACAAATCTTCTGAAAAATACAAAACAATGTGAAACATTAAAAGGCGTTAATAATATCCACATGTGTGCCTTCTTACTGAATGATGGTCTTGGGAGTCTTTCCAAGAGTATTGAGTAGATCTCTGACATTGTGTTGAAGAACTAGCTGCTGAGTAGGCTCCAATGATGCTATGCTGATTTGAGTATAGATAGACTGATGAGTTCCTTGCCATTTCCCATCTTCTGGCAGTATCAGGCACTAGATGGTCAATAAATGTTTACAGAAATGTTGATTACCATGTTCAGATTTTACATTCACATGCACTTAATCTTCTTAGGTATCACTTTTTAAGCAGAAACTCCTCTTTTATGTAATCTTTACCAAAAACCTTCCCAGTTTGTACTTCCTTTCTGTGGTAAGTAGTTGCTGTGTGCTAATAACAACAGCTAAATGAGTGTTTACTGCGACGCATGCAGGCACTGTGCTTGACACATCCTGGGTGATGTAATCCTTACAACAATCCTTTTAGAGAAGGTGCTTTTGTACCCATTTATAGATGGAGAAACAGGCTTAGAAGTATGAGTCACTTTCTTAGGATTACGCAGCCAGTTAATAATGCATCACGTTTTTGAGGCCTGAGTTGGGTCTGTGACTTCAAAGGCCTAACCTTAGTTACCCAGTGCAGCCTCCCATTCATCTCTGACAAATGGAAGCTTTTAGGTCTGCTGTATCAATTCCTGGGACTTCACATTTTCACATGCTATCAAGCAATGCTGGCTGCATGCTTAATAAATACCTTGTCTTGAGATGTTCTAACACTTTCCTAACTGGACTTTCCTCTGCCAGTTTACTTCCACACTAGAGCCCGGCTTTTATTGCCTGAACTTCCCTGTCTCAAGCCTTTGAGGTTTTCCCAAGGCTTGTAACTAGACCCATAGTCCCCTGCCAGACCCTGGAACTGTTGCCTGCAGCTCTGGCCTGTGCTTTCCTTTGCCTGTTCTGGCTACACCTGCTCTATGTCCCCACATAACTACTCCTAACCTCCCTCAAAGGTCACCTGCTCTATGTAACTTCCAGCTGGTTCTCTACCTGTACTCCCAGGGTACTCTGTATTGTCTCTAGAGCACTTTGAATTACTCTGCATGGAGTCTAGTGTGTCTATCTGGTCTATCTGTCACCACCACTAGATAATGAGGGTTCTTTACCTCCGTGTGCCCCACAGCTTCTAGCACAAGGTCTGGCACTACAGAGGCACTTAGAAAATTGATGTAATTGGATTGACAGGCAGAGCCATACCTATCAGAGATGGCCATATAGAAAGCCTTTTAATTTCTTCCTGTTATGTCAGGAACCATTGATTTAAATATTAATGAAAGTAGAAAGGTCCTAAACCGTAAAATGGTCAGCCTCACTAGTGAGGGGAAATGCAAATTAAACTGCAGTGAAATGCAAATCAAGCTGCAGTGAGAGACCATTTTATACCCACTGTGAGTGGCTACTTTTTTTTTCTTTGAGACAGGGTCTTGTTCTGTCTCCCAGGCTGGAGTGCAGTGGCGCGAAGACAGCTCACTGCAGCCTCCAACCTCCAGGACTCAAGCCACCCTCCTACCTCAGCCTCCCAGGTAGCTGGGACTACAGGCATGCACCACCATGCCCAGCTAATTTTTTAAGTTTCTGTGGAGATGGGGTTTTTTGCTCTGTTGCCCAGGCTGGTCTTGAACTCCTGGGCTCAAGTGATCACCCTGCCTTGGCTTCCCAAAGTGCTGGGATTACAGACATGAGCCACTGTCCCCAGCCCGGATGGTTAATTTTATGTGTACCCAGATAGCTGGTAAAATAGTCTTGGGTGTGTCTGTGAGGGTGTTTCTGGAAGAGATTAACATTGATTTGAATCAGGAGACCGTAAAGAGGGTCACCCTCACCAGTGTGGGTAGGCATTGTCCAATCCTTGAGGCCCAAATCAAACAAAAGGCAGAAGGGTGAATTTGTTCTTTGCCCTTGAGCTTGGACATCTATCTTCTCCTGCCCTCAGACCTTGCTGCTCTGGCTCTTGGGACATTAGACTCAGACTAGGACTTGCACCCTTGGCTCCCTGGTCTCAGGCCTTCAGGTTTGGACTGAAACTCCATGATTCACTTTCCTGGGCCTCCAGCCTGCAGATGGGACTGTGGGACTTTTCAGGCTCCATGAGCCAATCCCTCCTAAAAATCTCTTTCCATATTTTATGTACACACATTTGTATAAAATCCATTGGTTCTGTTTCTTTGGAGAGCCCTGATGTACCCAGTGTATGGCAGATTCTAAGAGTGCCAGTATCCAGTGTTGGCAAAGATGTGGAGCAACTGGAACACTTATTATTATTGCTGGTGGGGATGTAAATTATTCAGTCACTTTGGAAAACAGTGAAGATCCGCATATCAAACATTTCGAAAATGATTTGAAATTTTTTTTTACATGTTTTAAGAAAACCACTTTATTTGGTAGTTTCCCCCCCCAAAAAAAGTGCCCTTTTTGTCATTGGATTCATTTAGCATTCATACTTTTTTTCATACAATGAATTTAAATTGCTAAAAGATCATCAACTGGCTTTCTGGTTGGATTTCAGGTAAGATTTGTTTAAGGCCAGAGCTCTTCCTCAATATTTGTTTTTTTCCCAATATTTGATTTTTAAAATATACACATAGATGCTACATTTATAGCTGCTGGCTTAAAATTCTGTCATATGTCACATCTAGCCTTTTAGTGTGGTAAATCACGTCTTCTATTAAACATTGATAGTTTGGAGTATCTGATACTAGTAATAGTAATTCTATAATTGTATAATTGAGTTTTGTACTTAACACATGGATCATTCCTCATCTATCAGTTGCCCCCAGTGCAGTTTCATTTTCCAGATACCTTAATGTAAAATAAAGTTTTTCATCATTTAGGTGCAAGCAAAAACCCCCCAAACCAAAAAATGGTACTGGTTGTTACCCAGTAGAAATAAATGCATGGATAGCTCATGACCCAGCTGTTTCACACTTAGGTGTATACCCAGCACAAATGCTCTGTCTACACATCTAAAGACATGTACAGGAGTGTTCATAACACTGTTATTAATTGCAGAACAAAATAAATCCCAAAAACCTGGAAGCAGCCCAAATACCCATCACCATGAGAATGGGCAAATGAGTTGCGGTGTGTCCATGTAACACAAGACTAACAGCAAAATATATGTAACAAAATAGATCTAAGAAACAGTATTGAGTGAAAAAGTCAAAGGAGTATGTGCAATATGATTTCATTATGTGCACAGACAGACAAAGCTAAGAAATACAGTGTTCAGAGATAAAACTGTAAAACCCTAAGGGAAAGCAAGAGAATTCAAAATGATGATTATAAAATAGAAGCCAGTAGTTACCCATGAAGGGATAGAACAGAGGATGGTGTATTAGTCTGTTTTCACACTGCCGAGAAAGACATATCCGAGACTGGGTAATTTATAAAGAAAAAAGGTTTAACCGACTCCCAGTTCCATGTGGCTGGGGAGGCCTCACAATCATGGCAGAAGGCAAAAGGCACGTCTTACATGGCAGCAGACAAGACAGAATGAGAACGAAGTGAAGGGGGTCTACCCTCATAAAACCATCAGGCCTCATAAGACTTATTCACTGCCACGAGAACAGTATGAGGGAACCTGCCCCATGATTCAATTATCTCCTACCAGGTCTCTCCCGCAACACGTGGGAATTATGGGAGCTACAATTAAGGTGAGTTTTGGGTGGGGACACAGTCAAACAATATCAGATGGGATTAGGAAGGGGCAGCCATGACTGAAAGGTCGCTCAGGACTTGTGTATTTGTTTATCAGTATTATCTATCTATCTATCTATCTATTTTTTATTTGGTTCTACCTTAAACTATTAAGGGATAATATCTATATTTTTAATAAACTTTTAAAAACAAGCAGTTTAGAAGAGGGTTCAGCTTGGAGTATTGGTAGAATACTAGGTAATAGGAATATGTCCATCAAGTTCTCATATACAGAAATAGACCAGACTAGAAAGAAAGATGCTATAGCAGAAAGCCCTTCCTGACCATCACCCACCACGGTTCCAACATCATTCTGAAGTTGAGGAATGGGTTAAACATGCTCTAAATTTTGGGGTAATTTCTGACACAGCAATAGATAATTAGTACGTGGGAGTTGGAGAGGGAGGTTATAGAACAAGTAGGCCAAGCCTTATACCCTCTTTATGTCACAGCACTCAACTTTCAACATTTTACAAGATTTAGGAAAAGAAAAGGAAGGCATTAAGTTTTTAAACGTGAGGTTCCATAGCAAGGAAGCAGGGTTTCACTGCAGTACCTTTCCTGCTAATGCACTTCACTGATGCATTGACACATTGCCCTCTGGGCACTTTTTTGTGCCGCAAGGTCTCACAAGAAGCTGAGCAGAGCAGACTAGGATGCTTCTGCGTCCCTTGGCCCTCTAAGTGAGTGTGGTCTTGCCAGTGAACGTCCTTTAGTACAATTGTTCATCTATCCAGCACTATTTCATAGTATTTGAGATTGGAAAGGGAGGTTGGCTCCTCCAAGTCCGTTTGCAGATGCAGAAACTGAGGGCTAAATAGGCAAAGCTACCGACTTAACATCAAGGTCAAGGTTAAACAGCCAAACACAGAAGCCAGTTTTAACTTCCAGTTATCTATTTTTCCACACCACCATCCTGCCCATCATCATCTTTGTAGATTATCCTACATTCTTCAACACACCCAGCCATGTAAGCACATTCTTGTTTGCAGTGAAATTGAAGAGTGTGAAGAAATCATACATCACTTATAAAAAAAAAAGCAGACAGGTCCTTGGCCCTGCAGTTCACACGTGGTGGGTATGCAGGAAACACATCCTACTGACATCAAGTGAGGCCTCAGAAGCCCTTACCATTGGCTTCCTTTTGTGTATAATGCTGATACATAGAACCTGCCTAATAACTGTAAAAGCAAACAGTCTGGGTGAGTGTTTGCTAAATCAGTAGAGTGAAGGAAGAAAATTATGGACTATCCTTTATGTCCAGAGCACAGTGGACACAAA